TGATTTGGATTTCCCTGATGCCGAGCGATGTTGAGCACTCTTTCATGTGTCTGTTGGCCATTTGGATGTCTTCTTGGGAAAAATGTCTGTTCATGTCTTCTGCCCATTTCTTGATTGGATTATTTGTTCTTTGGGTGTTGAGTTTGATAAGTTCTTTGGGTGTTGAGTTTGATAAGTTCTTTATAGATTTTGGATACTAACCCTTTATCTGATAGGTCATTTGCAAATATTTTCTCCCATTCTGTCGGTTGTCTTCTGGTTTTGTGGACTGTTTCTTTTGCTGTGCAAAAGCTTTTTCTCTTGATGAAATGCCAATAGTTCATTTTTGCCCTTGCTTCCCTTGCCTTTGGCGATGTTTCTAGGAAGAAGTTGCTGCGGCTGAGGTCAAAGAGGTCGCTGCCTGTGTTCTCCTTTAGGATTTAGATGGATTCCTGTCTCACATTTAGATCTTTCAACCATTTGGAGTCTATTTTTGTGTGTGGTGTAAGGAAATGGTCCAGTTTCATTCTTCTGCATGTGGCTGTCCAATTAGTTGACCAGAGAGTTGAGGGTCCATTTCTGGGCTCTCTATTCTGTTCCATTGATCTATGGGTCTGTTTTTGTGCTAGTACCATACTGTTTTGATGATGACAGCTTTGTAATAGAGCTGGAAGTCCGGAATTGTGATGCCACCAGCTTTGCTTTTCTTTTTCAACATTCCTCTGGCTATTCGGGGAGTGTCCTTGAGTTTTAAACGTAATGAGTCCTGTATAGTTTTGTTTGTGTATCCTCTAAATTAGGGTTTACAAGCTAAAGGACGGCTGTGTGGCAACAATAAAAACAAACACACACTATTTTTTAAAATAATTTTTATTTACTATTAAGTGGCTTATTGCAATTTACTTTCAGTCCAGAATAAAATGAAGACAAATATTGAAGAGTTTATCCATTTCTTTCTTATTAATAATAACCAAAGCTAAATTAATAAGTCTATTATAACCTATTTTTAAAATAGTTTTTTAAAAATGTTTTTAATATAAACTTATTAGTTAAAATTTAAGATAAATTTAAAGCAGCAAAAATATTAATTTATCATACAATAAGCAATATTCAAATAGAAGCCACATACCTGGAAGACTAAATCTGGAATATCTTTGTCGTAAAGGGGTATTTGCTGCAGATGGAAAATGTCTAATTGACCTGCATTTCTAAGTTGCAATAGCTGGAAACGTTTACTCTTTTTCATTTCTTCTTCAGAAACAAAGTTAAATTCATCTTGCAACTGTTCAAGACGAAAAGATTTTGGAATATCCTGTCCTTTATGTTTCATGTACTATAAAACATAAATAATATAGCCTTTACTTAAAATATTAATTTTTTAAAATTTGAGAATTATTTCAAAACACTTTTTTCCCCTCAACTGTGAGATGTTAGAGTTTCCATATATGTAGGAAAAGGAGCAATGAATCTATACAGAGATAGAATCTGGAAAAAAAAAGAAAAGAAAAGAAAAAATAGAATCCAGCCTACATAGCTTTCCAACCTTTTCCTGGTCATGACTGAAATGAAAAATGAAAATATTTATATTGCACACTGGGTTAAAAGATGAGACTATTTGTATCTGTTTGCCATAAATGTTGAGAAAGGATCAATATTTCTGTATACTTGTAACTAATAGAGCACTTTAGTTGGGAAGCTCTGATCCAGGGAAGCTTAACTGCAATAATCTATGCATTGTTTTATTCAATAAATGCAAATGTGCGTACATGGTACATGCCAGGAAGAGTGCTAGCTACCAAAGATTTATTCACTGTAGTTCTATAAGGAAAGATAAAACACAGAATGAATAGCTACTGTAAAGGGCAGAATGATATCAGAGTCACAGAAGTTATAAAAAGAAAAAAAGTTAACAGGAGGGAATGGAAAGAAGGGCCCATATCTAACCAGTTTATCAGGGAAACCTTTACCAGACTTGCAGGCTACCAAGATAGCCACCGAGGGTGCCCTTCTAGGCAGAGGGAATGACATGAATAAAGGTATGAAGAATGCATGTTTGAAGCACACAGAGCAGTTCAGGCGGTTATAAGAAAGAATAGGAGAAGTGAACAGTTAATGGAGTCATTGAGGGAAGGAATGTGTCTATAAATCATCTTTATATCCCTAGCATCTATAATACCATGGGGACTCTGTAGTTGTACAAGAGATGCTAGCCTGAAGTTTAGCCTATAGGATGCCCGGCAGGTTGCTAAGTAACGGCAGAGTACCAACCATCAGGCCTAAAGTAGCAATTATTTCAGTTGTTGAATTTCTAACTGCCTTTACAATACTGTAAAACTGGTTGAAAATCATATCTGTCCTCAGATTTATCTTTATATGCCTCCTGGTGCCTAGAAAAACTGAAGTATAAGGGGGTAGACCTTAGGAAATAGAATATACAGTACTGATATTTGCTATAACTTACTATAATAAATTCCATTAAATCAGAATATTCTGGATTATTTGGATCAATTTTTGCTTCATTTGCCCACTCAAAAAGCTTCTGTGCATTAATGAGCCGTGGAATTCCAGGAACCCCTCTTGCATCTACATTCCTTAACACACTAACAGAGAGAAAAATATCTTGTGAATTTGCATACAATATCTAAGTTATACGTCTGTTATACAGGGTAAAACCTACCCATTCCAGGTAGTTAAAGATAAAACCTATGCATCCTCTGCATTTCAGGATAAAACAGAAGATTTAGATGTGATATCACTCTTGGTTCTTCTCACATTCTAATTTGTATCCTAGCTTTTTGATAAATGTCTACCCCCTCCCTTAAGAGACAGTAAGCTTCTTAAGGGTAAAGTCTGTAAATATCCATCTTTGCCATCTCCACCTGGTGTAGTAGCTAAAACATAGTAGATGCTGAAGGGAATAGTGCTTGCTGAATGTACTTTGTAAACCCTGAGGATAGTAACTTGTTAAATATTTTCTTTCCATAGGATGTACAATATTGCAATTTAATCAAGATGTTAGCTCTGGCAAAATTAATAAAGTCCACAACATAAAAAGAATCTTCAGGCTCGATCTATACAATTGAAACATAATACAGAGTAATACAATTAACTGGGAAGTATTCTGCCAGAAGAGTATCTCTGTTTGGTCACATATGGCCGTCTTAAGAAGTTGGGAGAGCTGTAAGAGTCTAGACTCATAATTCATCCTTGTTGGGACCTCAGCTATAGGCTAAGTGAAGAAGAAATTCAACCCTAAACAGTAAGGATTTCTTGAAAACCATCAATTATCCCAGTTATTTAGTCTCTCTCTTCATAGAAAATTTGCCTCATCATGTATAATTACAGCGACTTGGACTAGAAAATCTCCAAGATCCTTTCTATAAATTAATTCAAGAAACATTCCAGTCCATAAACTGGGAGTCCAGAAATACAGTTCTGACTCAGATTCAATAATGTCTTAACCCAAACGTGGACACTATCTTATACCGTCTACTTTCCATCAGCATCTATTCATATTTCTATGATGAATCTTGGGAAGCTATCGCTAACAAAGCCAATGCCTAGTATGACAGGATATAAGCAAAATTACAAGTAGGTGAAGTGTGAGTATTCTTTCTTTCTTTAATTCCTATTTCTGTCCTTATATTTGAACTGTTTTTGATATCTTTGTCACAAGAGATCTCTAGGGCCTGAGATCTGATTTCTTACACCATCATGTAAGAAATTTTCCTTCTCATAGGAAGAGTCCTAGCCCAGGTCACAAAGCCTGAGGCAAAGCTTACATGTTAATTAACAGACCAGGGAGGGAAACTTACCCAGTTATAGCCTTAAAATAAAAAAGAAGTTGTAAATGGATTTCAATGTACTCCCACGATTTCTGCCTTAGGGAAGGTAATAAAGACCTCAGAACATCTCCTGCCTTTACTACAATAATTCCTCCAGCCACCCCTATAGGTGTTCAGCTATGGGCTATGGCAAAATCCCTCTGCCACCTGTACTCCCTTCTCCACAACCAAATGCCAAGCCAGGAACACAATTCAGTGGCATTCAGTACACTCACAGTGTTGTACAACCACCATCGCTACCCTATTTCCAGAATTTTTATCATTCCAAACAGAAACTCTGTTAAACAACAGCTCCCCATTCCTCCCTACCCCCAACCGCTGGCTTTGTGTCTCTATGAATTAAGGGGAAAAAAAAGTAAAGTTATTAGGGAGGAAAGACAGACTGTCTACAAAACACCAACATGGCAGACTTTTAAAAAGGAATGATAAATCCCAGAAGATTAAGCAATTATAGCTTCAAAGTGTCAAGGGAAAATAAGTTTCAACCTCAGATGTTACACCCAAACTATTATTCAAGAATGAGGACAAAATAAAGATATTTCAGATATACAAAAACTAAACAAATTTGCTAGCCACAGAGGCTGACTGAAAGAATCAATAAAGGAGCAGATTTTCATCAAGAAAAGTAAATGTAGAATGAAAGTGTGGAAGATAAAGAGGTGCAAACACAAAAGTCAATTAACCATGTCAGAAAGTTTCATTAACTAGTGAGCATAAGAAAATGGTTTATATTTTAAAAATGTTTTAAATGAAAACTTTGGACAATAATCATTGAGATTCGAGAAGTGTGCTCAATGTGGTATTAAAGTATTCCAAGATCTTTTGGTTCACTGCTTCATCTCAAGCTCATCGATGAATGAATAAATGAATGAGCAAATCAGAGAATTACATGAATACTTTCTTTTGGATCTTCTTGCTCTGAAGGATAGCTCCAAGCTCTGACTCTCACAAGTCAGCCCTGCCTTTTGGAGCACCCATCCCAGGTTCCTGGAACCCGGGGTCTGCACCAGCCCTTGAACACCCACAACTGTAGAAGAGAGTTCTGGAACCAACCGCTCTGATCACAGCGGCCCCAACTGTAAAGTTTTACTTCAAGTTAATTCTTTAGAGAGTGCTCTGGACTTTGAAACCTCCTTTGCAATTTACTGCCTCTTGAAATCTGTCATCTGTCCCAATCTTTCACAGAACTGCTCTCAATCTTTTGTAAACCTGAGTTCCCAAGTAAGTGGAACTGCTAACTGCAGCATCACAGAATCCGTTAGAGAAAAGACTTCAAGAAGCAAAATGATGAGGATAGGCCAATGAATCTGGCCAGAAGGTCACTGGTAGTGTTCAGGAATAAATGGGTTGAGTTAGGGAGGGAATGTGTGAATAAAAAGTGGAGGCTTTGTACACAGATCAGTAGACCACACAAATGAGGACTTGGACGGAAAAACAGCCAAGACAGGTTTTCAGGGTTTAATCAAATGCTTGGGTTTTTCTTTGTTTTAAAACAAGGAAGGCTTCTAGAATACAAAAGACTAACAGCTTAGGGAAATGGAAGAGTTAAAGATAATGTAAGAAAAGGATATAAATATGTCATCAAGATCCTAAAGGAGACAAAGAAAAGTGCCTAATTACCTGTATAAAAGTTAGCTTTAGAGTAAGAACAAATATTTGACTCCAAAAGGAAAGTGAAGAATAGCATGAGGAGGCAAAGATTGGAAATAGCTGCAGCGGGGACAATGCTGGGGAAAAACGAAGAAATACAAGCAAATAATGGTTCAGAGTTTTAAAAGCTTATTCACTAGCTCCAAAATGGATTATCTTTATTAATTGTCCATTTTTCTCTAAATGCCTTTATTCAGGTCTCTAAGAAGATGACCTTGTTTACTTAGCAAAACAAGGACATCATCAAAATTGCGTTCCTGTCACACAGTGATTTCTGTTTCCTTCTCTGATTTAAAGAGGTATTTCCTCTTCTATAGAGCCAAGCTATCACTTGCGTTCTGGTTCCATATGTTCTTGACTCTGAAGGATCTCATACTCTTTCTAATACATTCTGGCTCTTTTTCTATGGATTTCATCACTTATTCTAAGAAGATAAAAATTGCCCCAATTTTCAAGAAACCTATACTTTGATTCTATTGTCTCTCTTATTTTCAGCCTCTTTTTAAAACTTCTTGGTAAGTAATCTACATATACGACCTCAGCCTCTTCAACATCAATTGCTGAGTACTACTGACACTTTGTTTTTTTCCTCTAAAACTATTGCCAAGAAAAGCATTTATGAACACTTACTATGAATCTGGCCATATGCCACTGGCTTTATAGTGTTCTCATTGTTATTTTTAAAATAGTCTCTAATTTCAGTTTTGATTTCCTGTTTAATCCAAGTTATTTATAGCAATGTTTTAAATTTTAAAAATTATTTTTTTTCAGAGCAAGACTGATCAGAAAGCGCAGTTTCCATATGTCCCCTCCCTGCCTCCAACCTGCAGTCCACTCTACTATCAATATTTGTACCAGAGTTATAATTTATTACATTCATTGCAATAAAAGAGTTGCATTTGTTATAATCATTGACTGACACATCATCATCACTTAAAATCCACAGTTTATATTAGGGTTTACTCTTGGTGTTGTACATTCTATGGGTTTTGACAAATACGTAATGACATGCATCTACAATTACAGTATCATACAGATAGTAGTTTCACTGCCCTAAAAATCCTGTGTGCTCTGCCTATCCATCCCTGTTTCCTCCTAACGCCTGGCAACCACTGATATTTTACTGTCTCCATAGTTCTGACTTTTCCATAATGTCATATAGTTTGGGTACAACAATTTTTTTTAATTTAATTTAATTTTAATATGTTATGTTAGTTACCATACATCATTAGTTTTTGATGTGGTGATCCATGATTCATTGTTTTCGTATAACACCCAGTGCTCCATGCAGTATGCGCCCTCCTTAATACCCACCACCAGGCTCACCCATCCCCTTAACCCCCCCGCAAAACCCTCAGTTTGTATCTGAGTCCATGGTCTCTCACGGTTCATCTCCCCCTCCAATTTCCCTCCCTTCATTTTTCCCTTCCTTTTCCTAATGTCCTCCATGTTATTCTTTATGTTCCACAAATAAGTGAAACCATATGATAATTGACTTTCTCTGCTTGACTTATTTCACTTAGCATAATCTCCAGTCCCATCCATGTTGATGTAAAAGTTGGGTATTCATCCTTTCTGATGGCTGAGTAATATTCCATTGTATATATGGACTACATCAAAAAATATGTGGTTAGATGGGGAGGGAGAACCATCTTTTTGTTATCATCATTCTTTAATTTTTAAATGATGGAATCTACTTAGCCCTTTATATTTACTGTTTTATTCAAACACAGCATGATATATAAACCAGTATAACCATTTTTATAGATTTTTACTGTACTTAATTCTAGTAATCCTACTTGTAGTATGATCTAGAAATTAATCCCAAGTTCTCTAAGAAGTCCTAGGGCATAGAGTAAGATTTCTAGGATTTTTCTTCTAGCAAACTGATAATGCATAAATGATTCTTTCATAATCCAGAATGGTTGGGAGATACAAAGGATCCGAAATAAAATCCTTGGGAGCCTTGGCCTCTGCCTGCAAGAGCTATGGAACCACTTCTCCCATCATCCATGTACCTATAAACCTAAGTATTAAAGAGATACATTCACTTACATGTAAATCCAAATGAAAATAAATAGTCCAAATCAACTTGACTGCTCTTACCACTGCTAAAGTTTTCCGTTTTACAGACATAGGTTCTGTGTGATGGTTTGCTGAGGACTGGCATTGTTTTTCAAGCATAAAAATTTATTACCTGCAGTAAGCAGATCTTAATGACTGTGACATGGGTGTCCGAGGAATACCATTTTTGTCTAAAGCCCACGATAGAGAGTAGCTCAGTTTTCCTGACGTCAAAAGACAAAGTTCCTCAGTTCCATCTCCCTCAAGAAGAAAAGGTACATCTGTTTATAAAAAGCATTAAACCATGAATTTTTAATAAGGCATAGAATGTGCACATGGTAGATTTTTTTCTCCCTGACTTTACTTGTGAAACCCCAGGCTGTTGTGTGGTGACCCCAGGCTCTAATCTCAAAACTCTCTCTCATTTTCCATGTATGGTACCTCAAGGCAGACCACTTCAAACAGACTACAAAACAGAGAGGAAAATATTGATCTGAAGACCTAAGGATGGACCCCTCTATTATACTCTTCTTACTACTAGAAGCTTTTTTAACCATTCTTTCTGGAAGTGGCTTCCAGCAGGAAAGGACTGCCGGCCGCGGAGCTAGAGGCAAACCAGCCACTACTCTGTCCTCTTTCCCTCTAGCCCGGAGTCTCCGCCTCTGTCCATTTTCTTTCTCAATCTGCAGAGAGGTTAACAATACTCCTCGAAACTTCTGCTGAGTTCCTGGGGCTCCTTAAATTTTTTGCCCTAAGTCTTTTCTCCTGGGCTCCCACAACTCTATTTTCTCGCTTCAGCTGGACTAAGCAAACTACATTCCTGTCTTATTCCTGTCCTTCCCAGGCTTTTTTGCCTACTCATTTCCTTCTCTCTCCTCATTGCTCATTTGTTCGTACTTCCTTTTCACTTGTTCGTACACAAGCAGCTGTGAAACTCCTATTTAGGAAGGTGAAAGGAGGCATCTGGGGGAGGAGAGGAATGGAGGTGTTCTCGCACACACGCTAACTTGAATTTCACTGCATGAGGAGTGAAATCAATTGAAAAACAAGTGAACAGAAACACTCTTCTTCCTTCTCTCCTTCTCTCCTTTTCTCTTTTTCTTTCACTCCTCCTCTACCTCCCTTCTCTATTCAGCTCAAAGATGCATCAAAACGTCCCATCCCGTCCCATCTCGGAGCATCTTTAGGCTTCGCTAAAGGACAGGCAGAAGCAGAGCAGTCTCTCTACTCAGAAGCAGAGCTCCTGGTCCAGAGAGTGTAGTGCTCTTCTTTCAGGTGATTTAGGAAAAGCACAGTTGCCAATTCCAAATTTTAGATTTCCCAAAGATCTGATTCCAGACAGTTTTAAAAATGTTAGTTTAACATCTGAAAGGAGAATTTAATACACTTGAAACCTAATACTGTAAACACAATGCTCTTTATTCACATAAATGACCCAGGGTCAGGTACAACATGGAACTCATGAAGAGAATGAAGGTGGGGAGGGGGACATGTTAAATAAACTTACTGCTTCCTACTTCTCCATATGCAGGTATGACGAGCTCATCAGAGCTAAACTCTACACATTCCAAAACAGTTTTGCTTTTCAACTCTGCGTTGTTAGGTAAAGGTAAATATAGTTTTGCCAATAAGCTTGTCCTTTTACTTATCTCATAAATCTAAATATAAAAGAAATGGTTGATAGGTCACTGAACGTACAAAATGGGGGGGGAGCTAAAATGAGAACCCTCAATTAACACATTTTTATTCCTTTTGAAAAATACTAGCATATAAAATAGGTATTTTTCTAGAGCATTTCATCCACATGATTATGAGAAAGGAGATAATCCTAAGTCCTTAAAAATATAATGCCTTTTACTGGTTTCAAAGAAAATAAGTTGAATTAAAGGATAACAAATATATTCTGAGCATATAGGTACATATAACACAATACCCCAAAAAATTACTTTTGTATAGCACTTTTAAAGTTCTTTATCTCATTTAAGCCTGATAAAAATGATTACGAAATAGGTATTACTTTTCTAATTTTATAAATGAAGAAATTGAGTCTCTATATGAAACTACATTCATAGAAATTCAGGTTGAATTGCTTAGGAAAAGGGGAGATTCATTGGCTCATAGAATCAGAGGAGAAGTTAAATAAGCTGTGGGCGGCAGGAGAGGGAAAAAGAGTCCCGGAAGAAGGAGTAAGGGAGGGCCTGATTCGACAGCTCCATAGATGTCTACTGGATATAAACCCAGGTCTTCTGATTCTGTATGCTCTTCTTTCTACTACCATTCCATCAAATCCAGTCAAATCTGGTTTCTGGGACCGCAGGGCTGGAGGCCCGATCCTGGATAGTAAATGTAAAGGTAGAGAATTCCGCCTCCATAAGTGAAGTCTCCTGGGAGAGCCTTGTCCCCTGATGGCAGCTCTCAAAACCATTGTGTGGCTGGAATGGAGTGTCAAGAATGAAAATGGGCCTTGTAAGTGGGAGAACTAGAATGTTCAAAAGCTCAGAAGTAGGAAATTGCAAGGATGTATGGGGAAAAAAATCAAGCAGTTCAGTTTGGCTAAAGTGAAAAATGAATAAAGAGAAATGATAAGGAGTAAATTCAAAATGTAGGTCAGAATCTGTTAGGTTAGGGCATATAGATTTATTTTGTAATTTTTGCAGTTGCTCATGGGGTACTTTATCCCTAGCTAGATTCCTTTCTTTCCCTGCCTCTTAGTTTGCTACGATCGTGTTCTAAGTGGTAGGATGATGAAGGATTCAAAATACACATTTATCTCCTTGGAGTGAGGGCAAGTTTTATACTTCAAGTGGTTGGATTATTACATCACAACTTATTTTAGGTACAATAGGAAAGTATATTCAGTATATTTTTTAAATAGGAATTTCAACAGAGGCACATTGTAAGATGATAGAAACTTGATAGTATACATGAGCAAAATGAATGTAGCCTCTGATCAGGGATAGAAAAAAATTATTTTAGGTATTGTAAAAATACCTTTGATTTAGATTTGTAATTATAATCCTCTCCCTACTCCCCAAACCTCACTCTATCTTTATTTCCTCCTAACTTTCCTTTCAGGTCTAACTGCAAGTTTAACCCCTATATTAGCCATCAAGACTTCTTATCTAGCCTCCTTTAATGTCTCTAATTTTTCTCCATTGTCCTATTTTTCTTTCCTTTAGTGCAGGGGTTCTTATGGTGGGGTCTTTTGATAGGGATCAGTAGTCTGTTACGTGTATGTTCTTTCATCAGATTCTTAAAGCGATACAAAACATAAATGAACAAATGAATGAATGAATGAATGAAATACACACATATATACATACAAATTCAGCAAGATACTGAAATCACTAAGTCAGGGCTGAGACAATTTGGAGAAATCATTCAACACTAACAATAGCTATGCTACATGTTATAGTTTAAATAACCCTCTTCCATCACACTAGCAAATGAACACAGTAGTGCTGCACATCCAGGGTTGATAGGAATTTTAGCAGGAGAGAATGGAAGTATTAGAACAACCACAAATCAAATAATTTTGTACTTGTAGCATAAAAGACTATTGCTGAGTTATAAATACATTATTTATAAGTATCTTGCCTACCCATATAGATCAGTCATCTCTAAATAGAAATTACTTGTCACATATAACAGTAACTAATGAGAAATTTAAAATTACAAATGGCATAAAATAAGATACAAAAGTAAATGACAATGGCATACCTCCAAGCAAATTGTTTCAGGCCAGTATATTAACTGAATATTGAAAATTTGCTGGAACATGACTTTAAAATCAAACTGAAGAGGAGATACTGAAGTGCAAGAAACCTGTTTATTGTTGTATAATATTTTAATAAAATACTTAAGCTTCTGAATTTTGGCTCTCCTCTTTTGTTCGTGCCTAAAAATTAAATAAATCTTTAAAGGATCCTTGAAAAACAAAATGGATACAAAATATTGTTCTTTTCAAAATGCACCTAAGCATGTTAAAATATGACCATTTTAGAGGACAAATGCTATCTTAAAGCCCAATAACGCTTGCTTATGTGTAGATAAAAGCCTCTCCTACTCGAACGTTTTTTTAAAAAAGATATTTACTCAAAAATAGAGAGAGAACTAAAATCAAGGTACTATAAATCACTCAGCAATTTATTTTACTAAATTGAAACTTAAAGGGATTCTGGCACTTACCCATCATAAGATGTCTTATAAAAGGGGAAAACTGAGGGACTTAGGAATGGGGGGGAGCTTGAATTAAAAATTTGAAAATATTTTCTAACTTCTAGAAGAAAGACACACTTTTAAAAGAAATATGCCATGTTTTCAGTAACCTCACTGAGGTGGCTCTCAGTCAACAGGCTTGCTGTGTCCTCTTTAAGGTCTTTAAAAATCCCTTTAGGCTTTAGGTTGTACATTCTTTTTCTCCAGGACATTCTTTCTCTAACCACAAAGATCAGAGAGGCAAGCCAGATTCCCCAGGGTTTCTATGAAACACTTGCTCGAAAATAAACTGATCCCTTAAGTGATATGAAACTCCTAAAGAGAGTCTTCTAGCCATTCATTCATTTGCTCATTCACCCAACATTTACTGAATACCTTCTCAGCTGCAAGGCAACTGACCTAATGATGTTCAGGACTTCTCTTTTTCAGAAAGATAAGCTCTAGGTTGAAACATAACATGCCCTTCTGTTCTCCACCCTAATTGTCCTAGGCATCCACTATCTCCTGGCGCCCAAATCTGCCCATGTTCTCTGTAACCTTTTCAGAGGGTTAGGAGACGAAAGATTACTTTTTTTTTCCTTTTTAAAGATTTTATTTATCCATTTGACAGAGAGAAACACAGCGAGAAAGGGAACACAAGCAGGGGGAGTGGGGAGGGAGAAGCAGGCTTCCCATGGAGCAGGGAGCCCGATGCGGGGCTCGATCCCAAAACCCCAATATCACGACCTGAGCCGAAGGCAGACACTTAACGACTGAGCCACCCAGGCGCCCTGAAAGATTACTTATTTTCCCTATCTCCCTGTTGGCCTCTTCTAACCATCTTCTCAATTAACTCTAAAGAAATATGTTAGGTACATTTCCCCTTTATGTTGCCCTCTGAAAGTAGTTTTAATAATGAGCTCATGAACTGATTATGAAAATTCATTAATTCAGGATTATATTTATCCTTAGGAAATCTTGCCTACATCACCTATAAACTCTTTATAATTCTTCTTTAATCCCTGTATTCCCTTCATCTCTATCCTTGCCATCAGTATATTCTTCTTTCCTAGAGAATCGATCCTTACTCAACCAGACATCTTAAATGGATAAAGACAGCAATGCCTCACAACAGCAATAACTTTGAAAAGACAGACACATTCCATTTCCTTTTGCCTTGACCTCCACTCAGTTTTCGCCTCCATTTATCTTCCTCCTTCTCTTACCGCTCTTTACTTCTAACTTCCATTTTATGGCTCTTGTTTTCTTATCCTCATGTAGGTGGTCCTTTTGGATGCATGTCTCACATAATAATTATCTCAGGCCCTCTTGGGAAGTAGGCACAGAACAAACAAAGCCTTCCTCCACTGCTGCACTTTGCTGGTCAGAAAGAGAGCAGCGGTAATTGTGCTTTTGTGTCTGCTACTCTTTATGCCATTTTAAATGTAATCATCCATCCAATCATTGCATAAATATGAATATTTTGGGGGCATTTACCACGCTCCAACACTGTGCTACATGATGCACATTCACAATACTCAAAGATGAATTGGTACAAAGTGTCCCATGGGACAGGGATGTTGAAAAGTTGGACTTCAGTTCAGCATTGTAAGTTGTCATATCCTCTTTAAAGGAGATGAGATCCATAGGCCCAGAGATGGGAGAAATGGGGATCTATATTAGATCTGTTTTTGCATGAAAGTCCTAGGACTAGGGAGAAAACAGCAAAAGGAAAAAGTCACAACTGGGAAGGAAAGAAGTTTGTGTCAAAGTAGAAAATTGCCCAGAGGATCCTCCAGATACAGAATACTTTTTAGGAAAGCAAGAGGTCCCCTTGGTAAGCAAGGGCAACCACATAACCTTATTTTTTACAGTGGCTTCATATCCTACCTATCTATATCTGAACAAAGATTACTGCCATAGCAAAACAAAACAAAACAAAAAAACAATCATTAAACCAAACAGGTTTATGTCCTACCTCAGTCATGAATTAGAAGTGTGACCCTGGACAATTTACCCTTCCACAAGCATAAATTCCCCCATCTCTAAGATGAAGATAATACCACAGAGCTATGGTTGCAATTAAATGTGCAAATGTATTTAAAAACTTAGTAAAGTGCCCAGCTATGGTACTCACTCAAGAAATCTAACACTATTATTAAAACAATACAATAAAGAGATACTATATAATGAAGAAATAATCCTTTAAAATGCTTACAGTGAACACTTGGATAAGTTTGTTAATTCTGCAGTGAAAGAGAGTTGTGGCATCAAGGTAATTTGTCTTATTCTCTTAATATCTGATTCTTCAAGTTCTGAAGCTGAATATGAGAAGCTCTAGAAACCAAAATATAAACATGTAATTTACAATGTAAGTTCACTGCTTAAGACAACCATTCTTAAAATTAAACTTTTATTTCTTATGTTTGTCATTTTGTTGGGTAACCGTTACAAATACCAAGACTTCCTATTCTACCAAGCAATTAAATATTATAACCAGTTAAGAGGAGTTGAACGTTATTTTGCAATATAAATACCTCTTGTTTTTCCCCATTCTTAAATGCTTTTCCTTCAGTTTTCTTCTCAGTTTCAGACATTTCTAACAGTTCTTCTTGGTTTGGTTCATCACATTTATTCATTTTTATCCTAATTAAATAATAAATATAATTATTTGAAGCAGAAATAGTGGAAGTATTTGAGATTTGTTACTGGTGTTGCTAACACACATATACACGTACGACCAATCGCTTACAACCAATAATTTTACATCCCAAGGACGACAGTAGTGAGAATAAGAGTGAGTGGTGAGCAGGCACAGGTCCAGGGCTACAGTTCTGAACAAGCTTATGGCATCCATGGGTCTCCTTTTCTGTTCAGGGGTTCAGAATGCAGGTGTGTATCAGACTCGTTTAAAGAAATGGAGGCAAGTAAGCAGGTTTACATGAATTCAGGACTCTACCATATAAAGTTTCATGCTGGGTAGGCTTAAAAATTGTCAGAAGCACTTTCGTTAAAAACCACTGCAGCAGGAAAAAAAGTCAACAAAGTAAACATCTTTCTTAATAGGCTGAAGTTACACTAATCTCCTACAGTTTTGAAAAAAGACCATGGGTTGTGGGGAGGGAACCAGTTATTTCACCGAGTTCACAAACAGCTTAAGTGATTAACAAGTACAGTTTTTTAATTGTAACCATCTCCTCCACTAACCATGTTTTTATGACTGTATGTTTCACCTAGAAGTATGATTGCTGGGTCTATGTGCAGCTTTATAAGAAAGTGCCACACTGTTTTCAAATGGCTGTAACATTTGCATTCCCATCAGCAATCAATGAGAGTTCCTTTTGCTCAAAATCCTTGTCCGTATTTGTTATTGTCTTTTAAATTTCGTTTTGTTTTGGATTTTAGTCATTCTAAATGGTGTATGGTATATTCACATTGTGGTTTTATTTATTTATTTATTTTTAAGATTTTATTTATTTATTTGACAGAGACACAGCGAGAGAGGGAACACAAGCAGGGGGAGTGGCAGAGGGAGAAGCAGGCTTCCTGCGGAGCAGGGAGCCCGATGCGGGGCTCGATCCCACGGCCCTGGCATCATGACCTGAGCTGAAGGCAGATGCTTAACGACTGAGCCACCCAGGCGCCCCTCACATTGTGGTTTTAATTTACATTTCTTTATTGACAGGATATGATGCTGAACTTCTTTTCATGTTTGCATTTCCATCCATATGCCTTCTTTAGTGAAGTGTCTGTTCAAATCTTTTGCCCATTTTAAAAATTGAGTTGTCTTATTAAGTTATAAGAATTATTCATATATTCAAGGTACAAGTCCTTTGTTGACTACATTAAATAGCTGTCTAGCTTCTGGATTTTCTCCCAGTGACTGTGAATTCCCAGTTATCTGTGGGCAGTTCCTCAGGAGCCCTATAAGAACAAATAGATAAGCCACTCACCTTTGAAACTGTAACTTTACTGGGGTGCTTGTAAACCCCTGCCGTTGTCGAAGGGATTTTATTTGTTTCCAAGTCCGTAATATACTGTGTAATAGAGAGGAGTCTTTTCCCCTTTCTAACTCATAGCGCTGTTTTGTATTACTACAACAATAAAGGTAGATCAAAAATACATTGGTGGATTAGAACTATAAATCATTAAAAATGGCCTGGGAGAATGTAACTAACTCTTCTGGATACCCCCACCTTATGTTTTTTTTTTTTTACCCACATCTTGATATAGCTACTGAAATTCCATTAATTAATTCCTTTATGACTTGAAGATTTTTCACTATTCAAAAGTGCTCTGCTAAAATCCAGACTTTTCCAGATGATCTGGTCATTCTGGAGTGTATTTATTATACTTTTTTCAGATTAACAATTGAAACCATTGCCTCAAATTTAGAGGTACTTTGCTGGATGGGTAGTGACCATATTATTTGGATATTGAGGTAATATACTGTTTTAAAAGATGCTTATTCTGTTTCATGGCTTTACAAACACACTATTAGTATGACAAATTACACTAATTGACTTTCTAATGTTAAATCATCCTTGCACTCCTGGAATGATCCCAATTTCACTGTATTATTTGATAGAATTCTGCTTAGCATATTTGTAACTATGTTTATGAATGAAATTGAGTTGCAACAGTTTTTGTATTGTTATCAAGTTTTAATTTCAAGGACAAAACAACCTCAGAAATGAAGTTAAGAATGTGGCCTCTTTTTCTATTCTTTGAATTTGTGAAAATAGAAGTTATCTTTAAATCAGAGGCTCCCAACCTTTCCTATATCAGAATCACCAGAGGGCCTGCTGAACACAGATTGCCAAGCCCCACCCCCAGAATTTCAGATTCAGTAAGGCTGTGGTGGACCTGGTAATGTGCATTTCCAGATGAAGCTGATGTTGCTGGTCTGGGGAACCATATTTTGAGAATCACTGTTTTAAATGTTCTACAGAATCCTAATTTTGTCATCTGAGCCTCAAGTTTTCTTTGCAGAAAGATTTCAAATTACTGATTTGATTTCTTTTAACAATGATTGAACTACTTAGGGTTTTTCTTCTTCTCCTTCTCCTTCTCTCACTTGTTGGAAATATGTTTTTTTGGTTTTTTTTTTAAGATTTTATTTATTTAGGGGGTGCCTGGGTGGCTCAGTTGGTTAAGCAACTGCCTTCGGCTCAGGTCATGATCCTGGAGTCCCGGGATCGAGTCCCGCATCGGGCTCCCTGCTCAGCGGGGAGTCTGCTTCTCCCTCTGACCCTCCCCCCTCTCATGTGCTCTCTCTCTCTCATTCTCTCTCTCAAATAAATAAAATCTTTAAAAAGATTTTATTTATTTATTTGAGAGAGAGAGAAAGAGACAGCACAAGCAGGAGGAGCAGAGGGAAAGGGAGAGAGAATCCTCAAGCAGACTCCCGGCTGAGCGCAGAGCCCAACATGGGGCTCTACCTCATGACCCTAAGATCATGACCTGAGCCGAAATCGAGAGTCAATGCTCAACCGACTGAGCCACCCGTGCACCCCAATTCTGGTTGTATTTTTGTACAAATTTGTCCTTTCCATGTAAATGTTCACATTCTTAGGCATGAAGTTTTTCAAAGTATACAGCATATGTAACAATGTCCCCCTTTCCTTCCTGATATTGTAAATGTATATTTGTGCTGTTTCTTTTTTTTTTTTAAAGATTTTATTTATTTATTTGAGAGAGAGTGAGTGAGAGAGAGCATAAGCAGGGGGAGGGGCAGAGGGAGAGGGAGAAGCAGCCTCCCCACCAAGCAGGGAACCTGATGAAGGGCTTGATCCCAGGGCCCTGGGATCATGACCTGGGCTGAAGGCAGACGCTTAACCAACTGAACCACCCAGGCACCCCATGCTGTTTCTTTTCTTGATCAGCTTTGCCAAAGTTTATCAATTTTTACCAAACATTTGAGTTTACTGATTCTATCATAGCTCTCTTAATTTCTGCTCTTTATTTCCTTCTATCCTTTTTCCTAACTTAAGAATGCTTAGCTCATTAATTTTCAACCTTTCCTTTTTTCTCTCATGTGTATTTAAATAAATAAATTTTCCTCTAAGTACTATTTTAACTGTACCACGAATTTTCATATATATTAATTTTTAATCAGTAAATTAAAAATCTTTCCTAATTATCAATATATCTTCTCTGAAAAATAGATTATTTAGACATGTATTTCTTAATTTCCAATCATATAGAGATTTCCTAGCTATATTTTTGTATTCAATTTCTTTCTACATTGAATGATTTAAATCCGTTGAATATATTGAGACCTTGAGATTTACTGAAATAACAGAATATCAACTTTTGTAAATGTTCCCTGTGTTCTTGAAGAGAGTGGCATTTTGCAGCTGTTGGGTACAACGTTCTCTAACTATATATTAAGCCAAGTTTATTCATCATGTTGTTCAAATCTTTTATATCCATACTGAATTTTTTTGGTCTACTTGTCCCATCATTTACTGAGAGGAGTGTGTAAATATTGCCCAGTAAGTTTATGAATTTGCTATTTCTCCTTGCACTTCTATCAATTTTGCTTTATTTATTTATTTTAGATTTTTTTTTTATTTATTTCTTCATAAAATACAGAGAGAGAGAGAAGGAGAGGGAGAAGCAGGCTCCCCGCTGAGCAGGGAGCCCGATGCAGGACTCAATCCCAGGACCCTGGGATCACGACCTGAACCGAAGGCAGACACTTAACCATCTGAGCCACCCAGGCACCTGCTTTATTTATTTTGAAGCCATTTTATTATATGCATATATGTGTATATGCACATATATGAATATATGTTAATTAAACTGCATCATTTTGATGTGGCCCTCTTTAGATCTAGTAAAGCTTTTTGCCTTTAAAGATCTATTTTAACTTATATTGATATAGCTATGCCATCTTTATTTTGTCAGTGTTTGTGTGATTTTTTTCCCCATTATTTCTATTCTCTAACTTTTTATATCCTTATGATCTAGATAAGTCTCTTATAGATAACATATAATTGGATTTTGGTTTGGGATTTTTTTCTCTTTTTAAAACATTTTTTACTGAAGTATAGTTAACACACAATGTTACATTAGCTTCAGGTGTACAACATAGTGATTCTACAATTCTAGAAGTTATGCTATGCTCATCACAAGTGTAGCTGTCACCATATAACACTAGTACAATACCATGGACTATACTCCCCATGCTTTACCTTTTATCCCCATGACTTATTCATTCCATACCTAGAAGCCTAGAACTCCCACTCCCCTTCACCCATTTCCTCAACTCCCCACCCCCCTCCCCTCTGGCAACCACCGGTTTGTTGTCTAGATTTATGGGTCTCTTTCTGTTTTTTGTTCATTTGTTTTTTTTTAATATATATATATTTTAAAGATTTTATTTATTTATTTGACAGAGAGAGACACAGCGAGAGAGGGAACACAAGCAGGGGGAGTGGGAGAGGGAGAAGCAGGCTTCCCGCAGAGCAGAGAGCCCAATGCGGGGCTCGATCCCAAGACCCTGGGATCATGACCTGAGCCGAAGGCAGATGTTTAACGACTGAGCCACTCAGGCGCTCCATTTATTTGTTTGTTTTTAGATTCCACATATAAGTGAAGTCATGGTATTTGTGTTTCTCCATCAGACTTACTTCACTTAGCATAATACCCTCTAGGTCCATCCATGTTGTCACAAATGGCAAAATCTCATTCTTTTTTATGGCTGAGTAATATTCCATTCTGTATATATACCACATCTTATTTATTCACTCATCTAATGATGGACACTTAGGTTGCTTCCATATGGATTCTTTAAAGTTTTAATACAGTCTATCAGTCTAGACAAAAATGGAACACTTAGCCCATTTAGATATATTTAGGTTTAACTCCATTTTCTTTTATGTTTTCTACCTGTCTCATCTGCTTCTATGTTCCTTTTTCTCTCTTTTCTTGCTTTCCTTTTGAATGTTTGAATATTTCTATATTGTCTCATTTTCCTCTTATATTGAGACATATATCTTTTTTCTTTTTTTTTTCAAAGATTTTATTTATTTATTTGACAGAGAGACACAGCGAGAGAGGGTACACAAGCAGGAGGAGTGGGAGAGGGAGAAGCAGGTTTCCCGCTGAGCAGAGAGCCCAATGTGGGGCTTGATCCCAGGACGCTGGGATCATGACCTGAGCTGAAGGCAGAAGCTTAACGACTGAACCACCTAGGAGCCCCTAACATGTGGTTTTTTTAATCAATTGATATTAAAATTACAACTACTTTCATGTGACACTTCTACGAAATATTTTTACACAAAACTGGGTCTAAAGGAAAGGTTGGAGCCATTTCTGTAATTACCTAAAGAGTAGGGACCTTCTCTTTTTCTTATTTTATATCCTCCATAGCAAGTGCAATACTCAGTTTAAAGAAATTACTTGATAAATGCTTGATAAATACATTCATGGTCCCAAACCTACCTTATCTGCCAATAATAATCTTGTAAAGATTTTTTGGTCAGTTGGCTTATTTCCAAATTTTCGTTTGCTAATTTGGTAGCATCTGTCAGTGTTTTCAGCTACAACAAAGAAAAGAGCTTTTCGTATATTCCATCCACTGTTACTAGCACTCCAATTTCTCCAAAGGTCTAGGTGTGTGCAGCAGAAGCACAACTGTATAACTTTTTGTGTATTACTGTCTTATCTTCCAAAATATAATTCACATAAGCACCTTGGGGTAGAACTGAGAAGAGCCTCAATATCTAAGAAATAAACATTATACCTAGAACTTTCTAGGTAATCAGTTCCTCAATTGATGTAAAAAATGCCAATCAATCAAGATGGCAGATTGAGGCCAGGAATCTACTTTATCTTTCACCTAAAATCCCATGGTTACAGAAAAAATAGCTGTTTATCTGTCTTTATCCATATCCACTGCCAACATTACATCCATATCTATACATGTATATTTATAACTGTGTTTATATCTCTCTATAAAAATAAATGCATAACAACATAGGAAAATAAGAAAAAATAAAATCAAGAGAAAACGATATGCTGAGGAAAGCATAAGACAGAAATATCCTCAGAGAATGTCCATAGAGAAATAAAACTGGAGGAACCTATACCCTAAAACATGTGTAGGAGAAATGTGTCATAGTTAGGAACAGTTTGCAGGAACTCCAAGACTAGAGTCAATTAATATAAACTTTTACTGGAAGAAATCAGAGACGACCTCAACAAATAGGAAGACATACTATAGTTCTGGATGAGGGGACACAATTTTTATAAAGATAAAATTTCCTTCAAAATTAATATAATAATATAATGTAATCACAGTAAATATGGTAATAGAATTTTAAAAACAGAAGTTGACAGGCTAATTCTAAAGTTCATATGGACAATCAAATCTTTAAGAGCATACAAAAACATTCTAGAAAAAGCGAGGAGTACTTTGTTCCACTACATTATAACTTAATAATATAGTAATTAAAACAGGGCAGGACTAGGCCATTACGTCAATGGAATAAATAGTCCTTAATCTATGTAAATATGTGAAGCCAGTTTATAATAAAGGCAGAATCTTAAATTAGTAGGAAATTATGGTGTTTGGATATTAGGCTAACCTTTTGGGGGAAAGAAACTGAATTGGAGCCCAATCCACAAGACACAAATATAAACTCTAGACAGAATAAAAGCCTAGAAATTATACATACACACACACGTATATTATTAGAAGAATATATAAGAAGATAACTATAATTTTGGTCTCTTAGACACTATTGGTTGCCCTTGAAAGGTCAATTTGTTTTTGGTTGGCAGAACCCCAATTTTGTTCAATTGCTTAATCATCTTCCATGTGTTTCAGAGGCAAACCCTGATTAGCCATTTGTAGCAATTTCATTCTTTTTGCTAGTGCTGGTTTAGGCATAATTATGTGATATAGTTCTAGCCAAAGAGACAGGAGGGGAAATCGCCCATACGTGGGGGAAAGGCTGAAGAGGGTTCTCAAAGTGAGATACTACGCATACTGTGTGTCTGGTCAGCATGTCTTGAACTGGAACAGCCAGTTAGTTTACCTGCCAGGACCTAATCAAGTCAATTTGCTGAAGATGAACATTAGAGAGGAAAAAACCTAGGGTTGTTGATGATATTGTTGAGCCACCAAATCAGCCAACCCTAAAGTTGCCCTAACTTGGGACTTGTGATATAGGAGGTAATATGTTTTCCTTATTGTTTAAAGCAATTGAGAGAGCATTTTCTGTGAATTGCAACCAAAGGCATGCTGACTGATACACTTGGGGTAGAGAAGGTCTTAGGAAGCAAATGACAAAACCTAATATACACAAGGGAAAAGATTGAAAGATTTGATCTCAGAAAAATTTTAATGTTTGCCAAGAGACACAAAAAATGAAACTAAAAAAGCAAGTAAATGAGAGGTACGAATTCATAAAAATAATCGGTGGGTACTCATTTGATTTCTTTTTTCTTTTTCCAAACTTTTATGTACCCTTTATGCTGTCATTGGATGACTGGGTTAATCATTCTCAGACCAAGACTTTTCACATTTTATATGAGATTCAAGATCTCTAATATTTTTTTTTTTAAAGATTTTATTTATTTGAGAGAGAGAATGAGAGATAGAGAGCACGAGAGGGAAGAGGGTCAGAGGGAGAGGCAGACTCCCTGCCGAGCAGGGAGCCCGATGCGGGACTCAATCCCGGGACTCCAGGATCATGACCTGAGCTGAAGGCAGTCGCTTAACCAACTGAGCCACCCAGGCGCCCCTCTAATATTTTTTTTTTAAGATTTTATTTATTTATTTGACAGAGAGAGACACAGCAAGAGAGGGAACACAAGCAGGGGGAGTGGGAGAGGGAGAAGCAGGCTTCCCGCGGAGCAGGGAACCCGATGCGGGGCTTGATCCCAGGACCCTGAGATCATGACCCAAGCCGAAGGCAGACGCTTAACAACTGAGCCACCCAGGCGCCCCATCAAGATCTCGAATATTTTTATCAAAAATACTTTATTAGAAGACTTAAAACAACCATATGCCTCTTTTAACCTTTTCAAATACTCTTCTTGAATCATAGGACCGAGAATACCACTGATTAGTGAACCATTTATAAGTACTAAAAATCCTGCAGGATATGTTTGAGGCTACCTCCCTGGCCAGTCAACACCCAGAGTTTCTTTTTAGAAAAACTGAAAGCAACTATTGTTCTAATTGGTTAAATATTTAAAATGCTAAGGGAATATGATCTAGGATAGCTTGCTCTGTATTATTTGTTTTCCCTTTCGATATTAAATGTTTAACTCTATAAATATAATGAAAGCCATTCTCACCTTCTCATAAAGCAGCTGAGGTAAATTCTGTTGCTGCCTGTCCTGGAAACACTCACAAAGCTGAAGCAGCCTAGCACATAATACTTGTTCTTGATTGAAGAGAGGATGATGGCTGAATTGGAAACCCACAATGTTGAGATCTAATTGGTACATTTCCCTTTGACCTTCCATTTTGTTCCTAATAGAGCTTTCCAGATCAGGTTTCACTGCCTTTTAAAGAAAAATATGTACGCAATGTTAATTTGATTCTTTGTGTTTCTTTTGAAATTATAAATTTCCTTGTAAAAGTAACACATTAATTGTAAGAAAATTAAGGGATATGGTGAGCGCTGTGAATTGTGTAAGACTGATGAATCACAGACCTGTACCCCTGAAACAAATAATACATTATATGTTAATAAGAAAAAGAAAGAAAAGAAAATTAAGGGATATAGAAAGCAATAAACAATAATTTGGTCCTTCTTCCTTGAAATTGATTATGGCCCTTGATTTCATAAAATATATTTATATTACATCCACTTTAATCATCTTGCTATGAATTATTGTCAGATACTTTACTGTTGTGTGCTGGTAGAGTTTAGACTTTCAGGTTATAAGCCCTGCAACGATTTCCTATGGCAACACTATGACAAATGGTGTTTAGATCTGTTGGGTCAATAGTTCAACTACCTTATGATCTAATAGTCATCTATGGGCCAGTGTTAAGTGGTAAACCCTTATTAAAACACTGTTCCTATGTGAATATATTGGTAATCCCCTGGAAAATTCCCTGGAGGGGCTCGGACCCTCCAAGCAAGTGCTAAGGAGACCATCTTTCTTTATACATGAGACTGTCTCCACTGATAACACAAAAAATACAAATAATATAAGCACTCATTGAGTGTCTACTATATGCTAAGCATTTGGATATGTGTTAGCAATTGACAGATTGCCCCTAAATTAGTTGAAGTCTGTGGCCTTAAATTATATACAAAATGATTCAATTATGTTTTAGTACCCTATTCTGAATTTAAGCACATTTGTTTGAGTATGTATGTGACTTTTCAGCGATGTAATTTGAGAGGGCTAATGGGTTACTTAGCATGTACAGTCTAGTTTGTGAATGCCTAGCCACTCCCAGTAAGATCCATGGCTGCATCCCCCTGAAAAAGACAGCACAAGCCCTCTCTCTGGACCAGTCTGGTGTAATAGAACATGATTTCCTGTCTGTGCCATTGCTATTACAACTGCTGTCACACTGAAAAACTGCTGTCCCACCTCTGCCTGGTGTGGCAGATCCTCAAGGATGGCAGGTCACAGAATGATGCCTGCATTTCTCCCTCCCTACTCTCTCCTGAGCTAGGAATCTTCCCCTGTTTCCTCACTGCTTTGAGGGAAGGCAAGAGAAGAGTCCTAAAATTTGTTTTTGTTTCATCCTTGCTTTATAAATCTCTATTCTCTATGGAAGGACCAACTCGAGAGGGGAAAACCTGCTCTTGATTCCACTTATAAGATTTAGTCAATTGGTAGTAAAATGGTCCTTTACCAGGCATAAACACCAACGAAATAAACAGTTTTGGTGTTAAGCAACCAAATTATAAATAAACTTTTAAAAATGCCAGTTCCTAAGCTAGAGAGGACTGTCTTATTGAGCAGATTCTGCAGTGATCAGTTAAGTGAGGGGATTAAGTGAACTTCTAGAACTAAGTTAGACTAAAAGCACAAAGATCTAGGAATAATAAGTCAAAGGCCAGATAAATGCACAAAAACATCCAAGCTGATGACAAGTGTAAAATCTACGTAAACTCATAAGAGAATGTTAGAAGAGGGAGTAAAGGGCATAGTCAAATGGTCAGGCAAAACTCACACAGCCAAAGAAGACCGGGGGCAGAGGAACGTGGCAGAAGCAACAGCAAAGAGAGGACTTTGGTACTCGGGCAGCTCTTACCTGTGCTTCAGTCGCCCTTATATTTCATTTACTCTGGTGAGAAACCCCAAATGAGCCTTGCCTCTAAGGCTAGCTGGACAGAATAACAAATGTGGAGAAGATAAAAGGGAAAAGCAGGCAGAGCATTTGTCTGACGCAAATTCCAGAACATCGTCTGTTAAGGATGCTACAGAATGAATTTTAATACTCAGTTTAGATGCTTGGTGAGTGACATTTCCATTTATTTCCAAGTCTAAAAGGTCCATGAAATACTGAAATTATGCTTGGATGAAGCCAGAACAGATGCACTTAAGGAAAAAGGTACTTGTTCAGCCCAGTGGTTTCTAGTTTGGGATTCTGGTGGTTACAAAGGTCAATCTGGATGGTGGTTAATATTTCTCCAAAAATTGTATATTTTGCATTTATTTGTTATCATCTGATGGTTCATTCATTCACACATGCATGCATGCATTTATTCATTCATTCAACAAACTGCCATTGTTTCAAGGATCTCTCTCCCTAAGAATGGTCTCAGTTATATAATTTTGTTAAAATATCTGTGCTTTATCTTCACCAAAATTTAGATGAAACATATTGTCACCATAAGGTATAAAAGTTATGCCACATAATAGCAAAGAACAAGGTAAGATAAATACTAGGGATTTTCTCTCCTCCCTCTTTCATTCTTTTATTTTTATTTTTAATGGAGATGGGTGTTTTTAGTAACCAAACTTGGAGAAAACAGAAAGATATTGCAATGTTGGGTGTGTGTGTGTATTGGGGAGGGAGGGGGCTCATTTACAAAATGTCAGTGAATGTGTTATATTATAAATTAGGATGGGGCAGAGACATTGCCAGTTTCTCATGGTATGACAGGCACCATGCAAAAAATAACCTTTTCTAAGATTATGCCAGTCAACTGAGGTCTTTCTCTTCTAATGTATACTAGGACCATAAAAGTCGCATTACAAATAATATAAGCACTCATTGAGTGTCTACTATATGCTAAGCATTTGGATATGTGTTAGCAATTGACAAGAAAGAAAGAAAGAAAGAAAGAGAGAAAAGAAGAAAGAAAACCCTACTCTTCAGTCAAGCAGGAAAGAGATTAGGAAAACAGAAGACAAATATACAGACTGAGACTTAACAGAACTGCAACCCAGCCGAAATCAGTTAAGTCCCTAATTGGATTAAAATGATTATCCCCACTCAATATCCCTAACAAAGCAAAGGACAGAACCTTTCTGAAAGAAGGTATCTTTAGAGCTTTTATAACTTTTCATATGTAATATTTGCAATACAATAGTCATAGACCATAATAAAAGACAAGTCTAAATAAGCAAAATGAAGAGAAAAAAAATAAAAACAGACTCTCAGGAACCCAGATATTGTAGTTACTAGATATGGACTTTAAAGTGGCTATCATTAATGTGTTTTGTAAAAGAGAAAATACATGAAAACATGGCATATTCTAGGAGGAAACTGGAATATATACATAAGAATCAAATTTCAAATCAACATTTTAAAGTTAAAAATATACTGAAATTAAGAATTCATTAGACAGGTGATTCTGGGAATATGGTGGCACTATAGTTTTAGATAGTCCCAAATCTCTACCATTAAAGCATGCAGAGCAACTAGATAGCAAAGCCAAAAATCCATGGACAAGATCCATAACAAAACTACATCTCCAAGAATCCCTCGTGAAACCCAAAATACAAGTGGATGGAGACAAATCACCAACAGTAGAAAGCTTGCATAGTGTTGGTGATTGTTTGGAAGAAATCAGAGAAGCAGTGAAGCATCTGAAGGTCCTGACAGCAGGAGAACCCAAAAGAGCCAACAGTTAGTTGCTCACCAGAAAGTGCAGCATGCCAACTCAAAAACAGCAGCTAAAACTGGAAGAGGTTTTGTCTGCTCCAACTGTGGGGAGTGCAAGGGCTTTTGGAGAGGACTAAAGGGGCTTAGAGGAATCTACTCCCTCAGAATTTTTAGGACAAGTCTTCACACTAAAGAGAAACTGCTAGGAGTGGAATAAAAATTGAGATGGCCAGCGATCACAGAGATTAAGGAAAGATAAGATACAAAAAAATATCTGGGAAGGGAAATACAGCCAAGAAATTTCAGAAATCCAGCCACTATATATTTTTAACACTACACAAAAACAACAGTTCTGTGACATTATTAGAAAAGCTATCAGGGGGGGCCTGGGTTGCTCAGTTGGTTAAGCATCTGACTCTTGATTTCAGCTTAGGTCATGATCTCTGGGTCCTGGGATGGAGCCTTGCATCAGGCTCCCTGCTCAGCAGGGAGTCTGCTTGACATTCTCTCTCTCCATTTCCCTCTGCCCCTCCCCCTGTGTGCACTCTCTCTCTCTCTCAAATAAATGGATAAATCTTTAAAAAAAAAATAAGAAAAATGAATAGACAGCAAAATAATATCCCCATAAAGTACAACAGAAAGAAATCCAAAAACAGATAAAAAAAATAGAAATGGGGGTGCCTGGGTGGCTTAGATGGTTAAGCGTCTGCCTTTGGCTCTGGTCATGATCCCAGAGTCCTGGGATTGAGCCCCACATTGGGCTCCTGGCTCAGCGGGGAGCCTGCTTCTCCCTGTCCCTCTGCCTCTCCCCCCTGCTCATGCTCTCTCTCTCTACCTCTGTGTCTCAAATGAATAAATAAAATATTTTAAAAAAATAGAAATGTACTTTCGAATGAGCTAAAAGACATTGAGAAAATTTTTATGACATTTAAGAACATAAATCAGAATTAGAAAAAACGAGAAATGAGGTGACAGAAAGTGACAGAAAGAATTAAAAATAAAAAAATATTTTAGAAATTAAGCCTAAAATAGAAGGAGCACAAGGGCAAAGAAACACCACAAAAATGGACTTTTTCTGAAGGTGAAGAGGGAGAAATCTTTCTAAATAAAAAAGAAATGAATAAAGAGAAAGAATTCATTGGATGGATTTAACAGGAGATAAAACAGAGCAGAAAATTAGATAAGTGAACTAGAAGACAGATCAAATAAAAAATATTCAGTCTAAAGATCGGAGAGAAGACAAGGAATAAAAAATAAAAAATAAAAGCAAAATAAGACACAAGGGACATGTGTACTTAAAGTCCCAGAACAAAAAGAGGAGACTGAGGTATCAGACATATTTGCTAAGAAAATGGCTGAGAATTTTTCTAAAACTGATGGATGACATGGAATCATACATTCAGGAAGTTCTAATACCCTAAAGCAGAATAAATATTGAAAAACTCACAGCTTAACATATTACAGTGGAAATTATTGAAAACCAAAGAGAAAAACTGAAAATGCAAATAAGACTTAAATTGGCTTTTCAAGGGGTACCTGGGTGGCTCAGTCAGTTAAACGTCTGACTCTTGATTTTACCTCAGGTCACGATCTCAGGATTGTGAGATTGAGCTCCATGTCTGGTTCCGTTCAGAGAATAGATCTTAAGTAGTTAAGATTCTCTCCTCCCTCTCCCTCAGCAGCACCCCCCCAAAATAAATAAATAAATAAGTACTTTTTTAAAAAGATGGCTTTGCAATAGAAACAATGAGATTCAAAATAGAGTGGAAAGCTCTCTTCAAAGTGCTAAAAGCAAAATAACATCCAATCTAGAACTCTAGACCTAAAAAAAATACCCCATCTCAGATTTTTATTTTATATATTTATTTTTTACTTCAGGGGTGTGCTAGAATTCTCCATTGGACTTGCGAACTTCCACAAAGGCACTCTTGTCCATGGGCGTTTGTCAGAATCAGCATACTTTGGGGAGGAAGACAACAGAAAACTCTTATTCTGCCATTATCATGATACCATTCTTTCTAGCTTTATTCTTCTTTATCAAGATTGTTTTGGCTATTCAGGGTCCTTTGTGGTTCCATATGAATTTTAAGATTGTTTTTCTGTTTCTTTGAAAAATACCATTGGGATTTTGATAGAGATTGCATTGAATTTGTAGACTGCTCTGGGTAGTATGGATATTTTAACAATATTAAGTTTTCCAATCCATGAACATGTGATTCTTTCCATGAGACAGTCTTTTACTTTTTTAAAGAAACTATAATTAAAAACATTCCCACAAATAAATTTCCAGGCCAAAATGGATTCATCAGTGAATTCTTCCAAACACTTAAGAAATAAATAACACCAATATTGTACAATTCTCCGCAAAGAGAAAAAGAAAATAAATATATTTTTCATACAATGGAGTTCTATATAGCAAGAAGATTAAGCAAATTATTATTGCATACAGCAACATAGAATACCTACTCTATTATTACATTTATGTAAAACAGGCAAAGTAGCAGGTAAGAGTAATCTACAGTGGTAGAAGTTATAATAGTAGTTACCTTGAGGGGAAATAGTTACTGGAAAAGGACATGAGGGGGCCTTCTGGAATGTTGGTAATATTCTATCCTTGATCTCAATGGTGATTACACAGGTTTGTTGACTTCATGTAAATTGACCAAGCTAATATACTTGATATATTTATATTTCTGTAGGTAAAGATAACTAAATGAATACATTGCTAAAATCCCTCTCAGAGCCTTGGAAAGGGACCTCTGCAAAGTTAGGGACCCTAAGCTTCAAATTCATTAGTTTCACAGCAAAACTGCCTCTGACTGAGGCAATGGCAATTCTCTTTTAGGTGTACTGATCTTAAGACACCAGATTGAGGGGCCCCTGAGAGGCTCAGTCGGTTGAGCATCCAACTCTTGGTTTTGGCTCAGGTCATGATCTCAGGGTCGTAAGAACAGAGCCCCACATCAGACTCTGCATACAGTGGAGTCTGCTTGAGATTCTCTCTCTCTCCCGCTGCCCCTCCCCCCTCTAAAATAAATAAATCTTAAAAAAAAAAGAGAGACACCAGATTGAGCTTTCTAAAAGCAATTCTATATATGCAATTGAGGATCAGGACAGAGATCTGGGAAAGATACATGTTTGGGAGTCACCAGCAAGCACATGGTGGTTGCAGCCAGGGAAGTTGGGATTATCAGGCAAAGAGTATGAAGAAAAAGAACATAAAAAGACCAAGGACCTAATTATACATCCTCATCATTGAGTTTCTTTGCTTCTGGTTGGGTAGAATTCTGCTCATCAAATGATCAGAAGTTCTGGTAGACAATTGTATACCTCTGTAATTTATCAAAGTGGGAAAATTAATTAAAGCTTAAATGCATTTTATATAGTAAAATGATAAAAGGTTTTCTTAGCAGCACAAAGTGTTGGTATATTTTTAGAAAGTCCTGAGAACAATTTATAAGCAGTATAAAGATATGAAAAACATACCACAATATAAGAAAAAATTTTTTTATTTCCTGAATTCTCTGGGAAAGAAATAGAAACTAGGGAAGAAAAGAGCATATATCATATATAAAGAAGATCCTTACATGTTACATAAAGACAAGGAGACGCCTAAAACTATTATCTCTTCAGTTGAGGGAGAGCCCTCGTTTCCTCAGGCTGAGAAGTATCAATCTAAGTGCCCTTGCTATTAATATGTCCCTGCTATTGGAATATGCAAGAACTAATGGTAACAATTATGAAGAAGAAGCATTAACTACAGAAGGAAGGCATAGAATTACTGGGGAGAGCAGAAGTAACTCACAGGTTCAAAGCAACAGAGGGAATAAAGAATAACATCCTGTAAGTATTTTTAGTAGGTATTTTTCCACTTTATATCTACTTATAGCCATATTTCTTATGTATGGAATGGTTAAGGCAAATGAATGGGCAATTGAGTTTTTGTACATAGTTCTGATTTAAAATTTTCAAGCCAATTTTTAAATATCACTATTTCTGTCTAAATATTTCTTCTCATTAGGTTAACGGACTGTTAATTTTCATAATGTCTTAGAATACATATAAACTTTGTTTCTTTGATTATGAGTATAATATACATTCATTTTTGAAATTCAGAAAATAGAGAAAGAAAGAAAATAAAATAATTCTATGTCCTACTATCCAGAGATAATTATTTGATATATTTTCCCACTCTTTTAAACTATCTACCCATATATGTATGTATTTATTGATTCACTGATTCATTCATTCATTCATTATCTGTTTTATAAAATTAGGATCATATATGACTTGCATTCTGCTTTTTCACTTTGCATTTTGAGTATTTCCCGTATCACTGAATATTCTTCAAAAACATAATTTTAATGGCTATTTTACATTTCATCATAGTCTTGCCATTATATTACTAGATTTACTAATATCTTTACAGGGTGAATTAACACCAGAAACACATAAGTTATAACTGATATTATAAGAATTCTTCTAATCATAATCACAAATAAACTGTTGTTGGTTACCTTTCTGTATATGGTCTTTAGCGCTGGATTTAAAGATCTCTTGCTTGTGGTTAGCCTGAAATTCCATGACTGTCTAATGGGTGAAGGTAATGACATAATTTCTCCACTTTCTTCAAACCAACACTTTCCCTATCAAAAATATTCAAGAAATAGTGTAATAAAATATTTCACTAAAAACAAATGTCACATACTAGCAATGAGTGGTGTAACTTATTAGCTGGCGCACTTGCCTCTTCTAGGGTAAGCAGGCGATTTTCCATTTTGTTGCAGGTCTTTTTATGTATTTGTGGCTTTCTCTGAATATAGAATCCTTCATCTTCTAAAATGCGTGGAATCATATCTTTTGGCAGTTTACGCTGGTTGACCACTTAACAACAAAACCTAGATATTACTTTGAAGTCCAAATTATTAAACTGGTATTGACAAAACAAGGAAAAAAAGGTAACTATCATATACCCTACCACTAAAGTTTGGTAGGAAGTCTAAATATATATATATGATAAATGATTTCTTTTAACCAGTTTCCTTAAAGTCAGAGAAGATTTGAAGAACAAATAAAGAAAACTTTCTGTAATTTTAGATCAGTACTTTTTATCTATCCAACATACAAAGAAGCTATTATTCTATAATATGATTCATTAATGACTTAAATATTTTGTTGTAAAGAATTTTACCTGGAGAACTACTTGGCACAAAAATGTGTGCCTGTTGTTTTTTTATTTGTTCTTGATCATCTTCATATTCAGCAGCTTTTACTTCAAGTAAATCTGGGGAAATGATTTCCTCCATAAAATCTTCATCTTGGCCTTCAGCAAAATTTTGTAAATTATCACCAGGTGAAAAATGTTTGGGGTAACTATCATTTACCGATCTCTGTTGCATACAAAAAGAAAAAAATAAGTAAATATGCTGTCCCCATGATTATATATAGATAAGTGAGATGTATTGGGACCTTGCTGTGAATTGTCTTTGAGCCATGCCACCTAGTTCAAGTTCAAGCTGAAACTGTTATAATAAAATTTCATTGAACATACGAAGAACTCATTTAAGGCTTAATAGTATACAGTATGATTTTTCTATAACCTCTCTTTGCAATTCACAATGAAGGACTAACTGAAATAGAACTACAGTTCAAGTCCCTCCTCTCCCATGGAAAATGACCTGAGATATTGGACTATGGCATTTCAACCACTGAGAATTCACAGTGTAAGGCAAAGCCCAGAGACATCAGGCCATGCAGTCTTAAACTGCATTTTTTTTTTCACCATTCAGAAAGCAGTATTACCTAAAATTATATGGAGCAGTCATGCTGGTTTCTGGATGATATTTATTTATTTATTTATTATTATTTTTTTAAGATTTTATTTATTTATTTGACAGAGAGAGAGAGATAGAGAGAGAGAGAGCACAAGCAGGGGGCGTGGCAGGCAGGCAGAGAGAGAGGGAGAGGGAGAAACAGGCTCCCCGCTGAGCAAGGAACCCGACGTGGGGCTCGATCCCAGGACCCTGGGATCATGACCTGAGCCAAAGGCAGCCGCCTAACTGACTGAGCCACCCAGGCGCCCCTGGATGGTATTTAAAAGAAAAGAAAAAGATTCAACATAGAAGTCTATGGCAGAGTGATTATAGTGAAATTCTGAAATATGATAGATACTATAAAAACTACAAACAATCTGAATATAGGTATCAAAACACATGTATTACTAAATATAAAAATGGATACTTTTATATCAGGATCAGAAATTTTATGAGTCTCTTCACACACAAAAAAATCACCAATTTATTCTTGATTGACTTTACTTATCTAATTTGAAATCTATATATATTGAAAAACAGGAGACAGAAAATGTGTGAGTCATGCAAATAAAATCCCTCAATTTTCCAAAACATACATTTGTGGATAAATAATTAAATTAAAAAATAATCACAGAATTCCTTTGAATAGAGAGCCTTACATGGCTTTGACCAGCTCTGACGAAATTAAGAAATTAACATAGTTAATCAACACTTCGGTTCATATCAAGTCATCACGACATCGCACCCTCTCTCTTATCCCCATCATGAAATCAATAAAGTATTTTATATCAAAAAATCTTTGTGACATCTTTTCCAGAATTCAAACCAGGTATGACACTGACATCTAGAAGCAAGATTTGGGGGATCTCTACACAGAGGATCTCTGAAGATTCCAATCACCTACCAAAAGGGGCTCGAGCTCCCATTATCAGGCATCCCTCATAATACCCCTGGTGTGGACCAGGGCTTACAACAGGCCTTCAGAGATAAGGTTTGTCCTGACGGCTGAGTAGGGCAGCCCTCATCTTGGATCCCAGCCTTTTATTTGTGACCAAACAAGTCACTTTTATAAACCTTACTCTATTCAATTGGCCTATATTTTTAGCCTGAGACAAACTGTGATTTCAACCAATATAAGCCCCATCTGACCAACTATTCCTCATTTAATCTAAGGCTAGCTGCTCTCCCAGATCACCTTCCTGGTCTTTACTATGCAGCTCACAGCAAAGCAGTGTCTGTGCTATTAGGTGTTGTGTGACAGGGAGTATGAGGCCAGAAGGCATCCATCTAACTTTCCATTCATAACTCTAGATGGATACACCTGAGCATGGTGTGGTAAAAAAGAGATATTACCCCCCATGTCGCAGGAACACACCTTGCTAATTGTGGTGTAAGTAGAACTGTCAGAAAATAACCTTGGACCTCACTCTGGGCTGCCCAGACAACATATTTGGGACCAGGACTCCCTTTTCTCCCAGCAGGAAGAAACTCAGCCTCGCAAAAAGTGGTTTTCTCCTCTCTGTGATGAGGACGATAGTTTCCTATGGACCTCAAAGTCACCAGGTACAGGGCAATGGCTTTTTAAGACAAAGCCTCTGAACAACCCACATCTAAACCTGACTTACTAAAGCCCAAATAGCCTATTTGCTTCACTGATCTAATTTCTCTCATGCCTGCCCTCTGGGAAGGAAAGGCAGCCATAACCACAGTACCTGACCCTGGTATCCTCTGGGTGGACCTTCTCTTATTTTCCCAGAAAAGCTCATTCCTTAACCCATATTGTGAGACTCCAGGAGGTCAGATGACTTGGCAGAGCATGCACATGTTTGAAACTCATTTATTCAATATTCATTGGAATATTCATTGAGTGCCTAATATGTTTCAGGAAGAAAATAAACAAAAAGATATAGAAATATATGCTCGGTGGTGATAAGTGTGTTGAAGGAAAAAAAAAAAAAGCAAGACAAGAGGATAGAGAATACCAGGCTGGGTGGGTGGGGGGTACTACTGTAGATAGGGTTGTCAGATACAGTATCTTAAATGATGATGTGTCATTTGAACAGAGACCCAAAGGTAGTGAGAGAGAGAGCATGAGGATAAGGGAAGAGCTTTCTAGACAAATAAAAGGTGCAAAGTCCTTTGCATGTTGTGAGGAATAGGAAGGAGGCCAATCTGGCTGGAGTTTGGTGGGAGAAGGGCAAAGTGGTAAGAAATGAGGTCGAAGAGGTACCAAGGGGGTCAGGTCACATAGGCTTTGGAGGACTTTAGCTTTTATTTTAAGTGAGATAGGAAACTATTAGAAGGTGTAAGCAAAAGAATGATCTGTCTTGGATTTTAACAGGAGCACTCTGACCACTGTACGATATAGAAAAGAGACTGTTGGGGCACTAGTGAAAACAGAGGGAGACACTGGCAATGATCCAGATGAGAGGTTATGGTGGCTTAGACTAGGGTTATACCAGTGGAAGTAGTGAAAAGTGGGTCAGATTCTGGAATACTTTGAAGGTAGAACCAACAGGATTTGTGATGAATTGCATATGAGGTCTGTTAGTAAAAGAGGACCCAAGGATGACACCAGGGTTTGGCTAAGCAACTGGAAAAATGGAACTGCCATTTACAAATATGATTCTATTCATATAAAAGTCCATGTATGTGCAAGTCTGGGCATAAGCATTGAGAAATGTGTGAAAAATGATAGTGGTTTATCTCAGAGCAGTGGGATTTCATGTAATTTTTAGGTTCTTCACATGGTTTTCCGCATTTTAAGAAATAATGTACCATACTTTCCTTAAACTTTTAAAAGAGAAAGCTCTTTTTATCGTAGAAAAACCAACAAAGAAGGAATGAAAGGACTGGGCAGGTTGAAAAGAAAGGGGGATGGAAAGGACTGGAAAGTAAATTGGGTGTCCAAGAGGGACTCAGGAGGCCTGAGGGATTAGGTAAGGCTAAGCTGCGTCAGAATATCCTGGGTAGAACTCCAGGGGATAGTAGTACTGGGGGAGGGGACCAAGGAAACCATGCAGAGACTTAAGGCAGAGAGGAACTGGAGAAACTGTAGAGGAACAGGAGCAGACGGGGAGAGCAAAGGGATGGACAGTCATGGGAAAGACCCATGAGATCGACTGGTATGGGAGGAGAGGACCACCAGGGAGTAACAGGGGGCTGAGGAATTTGGGAGGCATGGGGAAGAACTGCTAGCAATTAGAAGGGTCTGGGATCAGACTGGGAGGGATGAAGAAGGAGGCACCTATGGAGAGTAACGGAGGTTACGGAGAACTGGGCGGTGGCGGGGGAGGCACTTGGAGAGAAGGACAGGAACAACAAAAGAAAAAGAAGACACGGGCTTTGGAGCTGACAGCCAATGCTTCCAGCTCTACTGATGTTTCACCCTCTATCCCTGAGCTTCCTCATGTTTAAAGTAGACATTACAGTAACACTTGCCTCATGCGATTACTATAAGGATTGAATGATGTAATCCATATTAAAAATTTAGTACAACATTGGGCATCCAGTAAGTACTTAATAAATGTTTGGAATTATCATTTTGAACAGATTCTTAATTCAAAGAGAAGAGGGTGGCTCAATAATAAAAATTTCATCTCCCATCCAAGTATTTCATCCTATGCCTTTAATAAAGAGCTAATTTGCCTGGGACATGAGAGGAAGGGAACAGATCCGACCTGCTCTGAACACCAGCCCACAGTTGAGCCTTCTTCACCACTTGGCATGAAAAACCAAAGACCTTCATCCAGGGAGACTTCGATCTGTGGAGTAAACAACAGTAGACCAGTATTTAGTGTGGAAAAGATTATTTTTTCTGCTTATCAGCGGAAGAAATACTTTTTTGTAATATGGTAAACAGTAACTGTCATCTTATTCATGAGCAAGGAGCAGCAAGAGTCTGTTCAGTTCATTATATTTTTGGGGTTTTGTTTTGAAGGTTCTGGTAACTACAATAAGAAACAGAATAAAGTAGAGCCCAAATGCTCTGCCTCCCAAACTATCTCTTCATTCTAGCCAGAGTACTAAGAGTATACTTTACAGTGTGATCAAAACGGGGCTCAGGGCAAATCTTTATTTTCTCTCCCTGTTTTTGGGTGCTCTCACGGATGTGTGCGCTCACACACAAGTACCACCCAGCCCACCTACATTCTTTTGTGGTTATAGACAGTTAAAAATATTAAAAGTCGGGGGGTGCCTGGGTGGCTCAGTCGGTTAAGCGTCTGCCTTCGGCTCGGGTCATGATCCCAGGGTCCTGGGATCAAGCCCCACATCAGGTTCCCTGCTCAGCGGGAAGCCTGCTTCTCCCTCTCCCACTCCCCCTGCTTGTGTTCCCTCTCTTGCTGTGTCTCTCTCTGTCAAATAAATAAATAAAATCTTAAAAAAAAAAAAGGCATTAAAAGGGGCATATCCTTAGTTATAAATTTGCTGATAAATAAGCTTTCATTTTTCAGTACTGTCAAGTCTGAATCTTTTAAATGTAAATCACTTAGCACTTCTTTCTCACACACATATTAAAAATGAACTGTTTTTAGGGAGATTTGGGGAGGAATTAATTCTATAATAAAAAGTAAAACTCATAGTTACTAGAAGTCAAATAATTTAAAAATATATAAAATACAAAGCTTATTTTATATCCTGTTTGTATCTACAATTTAGCTGTCACATTAATTTTAAAAGAGTTATTCACCCTGCAACAATGCTGCATATCGAAACTGTCAGTATGTACTTTACTTCCCTTTATCTCTGCTCATCACAAAACCACTTGCTAAGCAGATACTCTTATCTAGCAGTTGGTATGAGGAGTCTTAGAAGCCAATATCTCTTCTTTTTCACCTCTTTTCTTGACACTCCTGGACCAACTTTGACAAGCTTCCAATTTTTTATTATTCACAGTTACATAAATCCAAATTAGGTACACTTTTATTTGTTGAATGAATAGCATGTATACACATCTTTTTTTTTTTTAGTCTGCTTTTATGTTTAAATTTAATTAATTCTTACTAAGCACCCAAGAAGAGCATTGTTGGGGAGACAAAGATGATTTTTAAAAAATTCCTTGCATTTTAAAATTTGTAGAGTTAGTCTTGTTGCTTATGGAAGAAATGACTAATTGTCCATTATTGTCTTTCCCCCATCTCTAATAACAGAATCTACTTTTAGTGGGGGACCTAAATATTTTCCCCACATTCCTTTAAGGGAAGTAATGTGTGCAGCTTGCAGGTCTTGTCCTGTAAGAGATCAATCTGCAACCCTCTGGCTCTTTCCTTCTTTCCCTGTGGCCAGCAAATAAGGCACTGAAGCTTTCCCACTGGACTGTGAGATAGAAACCATCTGCTGAAGATGGCAGAACTCTCCTAGCAGTTTAGACTACTTACCTTTTACAACTAGAGAGAAATAAAACTTCGATCCTAATTAAGACATTTTACTTGGAATCTTTTGGCTAAAGGTGTTCAGCAACCTTTACCCTAAATAAGATAGTTCCCCAAAACAGAGTTGTTTTGTCATTTCAAGTTTCAAAATGTGATTACACACTGAGTTGTAAAACAAAATCTGTAAGTCAGGGATCACCTATAATATTTTATTATAATTTTTTAGGATAAAAATAATGTCAGGTACAAATAGAGAATGCTGCAAATTGGTATGAGGGATCTTTGTGGAGTGACGATATTGGATTATAGTGTTGACTGCATCATTCTGTAAGTTTACTAAAAATCATTAAATCATACACTTAAAAACAGTGATATTCTGCTATATAAAGTATAGCTCAATAAAGCTATTCTAAAAAATATTAAAAAATTATTTACCTTAGGCCACTGATATATCTCCTCATCAATGAGTAGCTGAGGTGAGGATTTTTCACCTTGATTAATCTGAAACACAACATAAGTAAATAGTATGGAAAATTTAATCTTCACAAATATAAACATATTTGTGCTCATAAGTCTTTTATTCAAAATGGATAAAAATCAAGATTTCTCAATGCTTATGTTTAACTAGTATATACATGTTTTCCCTTGAGATGTCATATATACTTACCATGACCAACTCAACTTTTCTTGGCTTTAGGTTTGGAAAAAAAGTATGGAAAAGAACTTGAAGCTTTTGGGACTTAAGGAGCTACGGAAGGCTGAATTTTCACTCTTTTTTGACAAAGAAAAGTTTATTATGATACATATTTCAGTAAACAGTAAATATGAAAACAGGAAAGAAAAAAGAAGCATTACCTTAGCATTTTTTAGCTTCTCTTTTACTTTGCCTCTCAACGTTTCCATTACATTTTGATTTTCTTCTGCATCTAAATCTATCAAGAAGTCAACATAATACAGAGTTCATGACACTTTCTTATAATAAAACAGCAATAGCGGCAAAAGTGCTTAAATAGCTAAACTGCATGGATTTCTAAAGATCATGACAATTAAGAAGGCTGAGTCATTGCCCCATGTGAGCTTAGAACCTAAGACCAGTGGCTGTTGTCCCTTCCCTCTTTTCCAATCTGGACTAAACAGGACTGAAACTTGCTTCTTTTTGTAACTTTTTCCCCTACCTTCTATATCCTCAGCTATTGGAGACAGTCCTTTATAGTCGGTCAAAAAAAAGAAAAAAGCAAGCTCAGATAAACATCTGAACAGTCATATTCTATGTAGACTGTTCTGCAGAGTATACAAATAACAAAGCCAGGTTACTTTAATCTGATTAAACTGGAGAGAAAGGAATCTGAAAGGAAGAGAGAGAAGTCTCTAGGTACCCATTTTAACTACTTATGTCAGTTCTGAAAAATCAGTACAATACTGCCAACCCCTACTTTTGTCAGCTCTTAAAGGATATGAAACATAGAGCATAAACAAGGTTCCAGGTAGTGTGTACACTCCAAGCTATGTGTTATTTTCTGCTCATCCACGAGACAATCCACCAGATGGACTGAGAAAGACAGGGGTGGTGCAGTCCTATGTACAGTAGAAAATGGAGGGCCTATTGGTTATTCTGCCTTGCATTTTTCTTTTTCTTCTTCTTTGAGTACTCAAAGGTTGCATAGAGGCTAATGGAAATAACGGGTAAATATAAAACTAAATCACTACAGGTAATGAGAATCTTCATTCTTTTTTTTTAAATATTTTATTTATTTATTTGAGAGAAAGCGAGAGCATGAATGGGGTAAAGGGCAGAGGGAGAAGCGGGCTCCCTGCTGAGCAGGGAGCCTGATGAGGGGTTCGATCCTGGAACCCCGGGATCATGACCTGAGCCAAAGGCAGATGCTTAAGTAACTGAGCCACCCAGGCGCCCCAAGAATCTTCATTCTTAATTGCAGTATTCCTTGGTAAGTTTAAAAATTACTAGTTGGTTTGTTTATACTCTACTCCCAGAATTTAGAATGGCAGATGCCACAAAGTCGGGTCTCAATAAATATTTGGTGGATGAATGAACCAGGTTTCAACCATATTTATATATGTTTCTCCCTGAGATCTGGAGCTTCCTGAAGCAGGTTCCGTATCTATGCATGTTTATGGACTAATACAGTCTCAAGCACTAGCGGCTTCTTCATGTTTGTAGAAAGGGAGAGAAAACAAAATTTGGTTTTATTACATGTGTTGACTTTATTATGTATTTTCTTAAGCCCATCTTGTATTATCGAGGAAGTTTAGTTTCTGTTTGAACTCATTTCTTAAGAAACTTGTGTTCCCAGTTGAAACCCTAGGATAGGATTAGTCATTTATATCTTTAAAAAATAGAAACCAGCAGTATCAGAGTTGTGGTATACTTATTGAGAACCTTTTTGGAGATGCTTGTTTACATTTTCTTCTGCACTGTTATCTTCTGACATCTGCAAAAAACTTGGGGGGAGCAGGTTACCTTATATCTTTTTGTTTTGGCATTGAACATCTTTTCATATGTTCATCAGCCCTTTGAAAATCATCACCTTTAAAATGCCAATTCATGTCCTTTGCCTCTTTTCCTGTTTCATCTTTTTATCAATTTGTATAAACTCTTTAAATACAGTGGATTTTTAAATTAAGAAATTTCTCTCTGTAATATCAAAAAGGACCTTTTAATGATAAAATCCAATGGTTAGTTGTTAGTGTTGGTATACCGTCAACTTTACATATCTTTCAGGAGGGCCAAATAAAACCAGACATATGAAAATACTTTGAAACTCAACACTCTATCCATGTTAGCTATTACTTGATTACTCTGTAGCATCTGATAATGTTGGGCACCTTTATTTTCTGAAAACTTTCTATATTATTGCTCTCTACTCTTCTACTTCTCTGGCCACTTACTCCCTGTGTTCTTCAATGGTCACACTTCTCTTCATAGCTTACATGCGGGCGCATTCCAAGGCTTTGGGGAGTGGATGTATTCCCAGGGCTTCCCAAATCTTGCTTCCAAGGCTTCCAACCTTGACTGCTATCCTGAATACCATATTTCTAGTTGCTTATTGGTATTTCTAATTGAATATCCTACCATTATAAAAAAACTCGTTATGTTCAAACTTCCCTTTAAGTTTTTTAAGCTTCAATATTCTGAAATTAAACCATACTAGCAATGTCAAGTCTGTTTTTAGAACAATATAGATTATGAGTTTGTTTTTCATTTTAAGTTTAAATACAATAGCAAAAGACTCCTTAACTAACAACTAAAATAAAAGCCATTATCACAATAAGAGTCTCGTCTACAGACTTCCTGAAAGAACTTCAAAATCCACCAGTGCTTCCTATATCACACTATTAAGAACATAAACTAGATGTTCAGCATCTTCCTCAACACAATTAAAAATACCTAATTCTATTCTGGACCAAGGGACAGTAAGTGATTGATAGAGGTCTCCCTTTAATTTCCAATCATCTCAACCAGCATTCCCAGGATTCTGCACACTTCTTCATAACTTCCCATCCCTCTAGAAGACAGGGATAAAATATGAATCTTAACTAGAGTTACTCTAAAAGACCTGTAGATATTGGTCCTATATATGTTTTATTTACTCACTAAAAAAAGAAAAAAAAAATTATTTTTGGAGCAAAGCAGAAAATGGACCGCTGGCTGAGAGAACAGGTAAATGAATTAATATTTACATAAGGGAATAAATAAATAACTCACTTCTAATACTATGGCATAACTAACACACCAAAGAGTATAATTCATTCTTAAGCTTATTATTTTTTTAACATGCGAACTATGTGATTTGGATATAGAACAAAATATATCACATTGTTCAGGACTATCCTATATTTATAATTGGGCTATTAGTATAATCAAGATTCTTATAATCTCCATTAATACCTTACCTTTTTTTTCATATCTTCTTTTCTCTTTGAGATCTTTTTCATGATGGTTCTTTCATTTCCACTTCCTAAATAAATAAGAAATAGTCTTAAGAATGATATATTACTGAAAGTATGATGTTATACTTAAAAGTATGCTACTTAATTTTTTAAATTTAACTAGAAATTAAACAAAGAAATACGCTATCACCTTTAGTATATAGTAAAAATTCCAGTTAATGTAATAAGACACATAAAAGAAGTAAGAAGTATAATTATTAGAAAAGAGAAGACAAAGTTATCATTGTTTGTAGAGGATAGGTTTTTATACATAGAAAAGCCAAGACACTCAATCAAAAAGTAAACACAATTAGAAAGTTAGGTGGCAGAATACAAGAGGAATATATGTCAAAGCTAATAGCTTCCCTATATGTTAATATAATAGAGAAAGATCACTTTCATAATAGCAATACAACAAAAACATTTTCAAAATACTTAGGAATAACTTCAATTAAAATATGTGGGAACTCTCTGAGAACTATAAAACTTTAGTGAGAAAAAATATCTGATTAAACATGGAGATATATACCAGAGGAAGGAAGATTGGTTAGGAGGCCATTATAATAGTCCCAATGCTAGAGATCTGAATCAAAAATGGAAGTGGGAATGGAAAGTGGAGAGAGCTTCATTTAAAAGGTAAAAATCACAAGATTTCATGAGCAATTACATGGAGAAGACAAAGTGAGGGAAGAACCAAACCAGGTTTTTGGTTTGAGTCACTGAGAGGTAGCGTCATTTCAAGTATTGTCAAAGTAGGAATGTAGTTGGGGTAGGGATCAATAAGTTCAGTTTTTGGATGTTGCTAATGGATCTTTATGGGACATTCAGGTGAGAAATCCAGAAGATGATTAAAAATACTGTAATAGAAGAGAACAGAAAACAGAAGAAAATCAGGTCTAAGTTAACTAAATTCTTTGTTTAATCAGTAAATAGACATTTAGGAAGTTGATTTAAGACTCTTTAAAATATCTTTAAGATTCTTCCTGCTAACATAACAAAATTAGGCACAACAGGAATATAATGCCAGGAAAAGAGAATTTTTAATTTACTTTGCATTCTGCAAGAACATCTAAAATAACCTTCAAATCAATACCTAGCTTGCTGATATGTACATCTAAAATTTTATCTGCTACACTAGGGGAAACTTTAGTGACAGCACATCCCATAGATAAATTATAATAAATTTAAAAAATTTTTAACAAGGTACTGTTTTGTAGATCTGGAGATGTTTCTAACCTTGTTCATTTATCATTCCATAAATGATATAAGATAAATAAATGATTATAGACAAAATAATAAATAAAATTGAAGATCTGGAAAAAAATTGCATTTGCTTTTTTGAAAATCTTGCAGAAGTAAGGAAAAATTGTGACTCAGACTTTTACCTTCTTACAGCATTCAACTCTCTTTATTGAAAAACTCGATCCAACAGTTAAACCCAATCTTCTCTTCAAGGTTATTGCTAATTTGCAATTCTTGCAGCTAAAGCTCTTTCTAAAGGGTAAGGAAATTGAGGATTAGCTATTTTTGTATCAGATGACCTGGAGGTCCATAGTCAAAACCTGAGAATTAAAGTCAAGTAGTTCATTCAGCCTTTTCTGATTCACAGCAAACAGAAGGCAGTTTATGTGTATAAATGTTTGCCTCTTGCTTAGCATTTAGAAATCTCTAGGTTCTGCAAATTTACCAGTTGTGCCTTTATCACTATGGTGATTCCTGAAATGAAATTTTATGTTGTGTGTAAATTTAACATTAAATTACCTTGATTACTTCTGTCATATGCCATTTGGTTTCAGGAGTGTTAGCAGAAAAAAATTACAGAAAAATCTCTAACATATGGAATGGTCACAACATGCATATTCTGATATCTAGTAATATTTCTTTGGTTAATTATGAACTAACTAGGAATTTGTTCTCTTTTTGTTTTCTCCGAGCTCCTGGAAATCTTTCCAAATGTATTAATTCACCTCCCTTCCTTAGCGGAACTGAATTCAGGCCCAAATCCAACTTTATCTTTATTTTAGTTCATCTATTGTCACATAGTATGATCAGTCCCTTCTGAACTCCCTCATAGCAGTGTTTCTTAAATCATGCTTTTCCACGCTTCTTTGATTTGCATTGTGATGTTGTACAAAAAACTTAAAGTCTCACTCAAAGTTATGGTAAAATTAAGGCAATGGATAGCATTTTGCCAAAATCAAAATTTATTAAATATATGGCAAATATACTGGTACTAAGGTAATGGAAAAGGTGGAATTTAACAAAAAGAAATTCTACAATTAGGTAAATATAATAGCATTATTTCACAATGTTTTACAGAGAGCATCATGACTTCCAGGTGTTTCATTACCTGACAAATTTGAAAATGAATACCTTTTAGTTAACTATAATCTTATTTTCTAAAATAAAAAAACTAGGAACAAGTGGCCTGACAAAGGATTTTCTGTGAATTTATATATAAGTCTTCAAAAGGCATGAACGAAATCATCCACTGCACACAGGACTAAGCCCCCAAATCACCATAACCTGCTCTTAGGATTTTCTGTGAATTTATATATGTCTTCAAAAAGCATCAAAACGAAATCATCCACTGCATACAGGACTAAGCCCCCAAATCACCATAACCTGCTCTTACAGGTCAAGAAAGATTTGGGTTCACTTCCCTTGAGACTTTAGGTATATAGAGATCAATTAATGCCACAACAGGTTACAAAAACTGTGGTATATTTTGAAAGGTTATATCACACACACACGTGATGTAATGTAATTTTGCCACTCTCAATTACAGGATTTATAAAAAGTATTAATTAAAAGACCAACACGGCCCATGATATTCAAACCTGACAATACAGTTGTGATAAGTCCTGTGATATTTAAACCTGACAATACATCTCGGTGCCTGTACTTAAGAGTCTCAACTGGAGAGAAAGTCAAAACTAGGCCCTTCCTGAAAGGCCAAAAGACCGCCGTGTCTACTCTCCCACCCAAGCCCTGCTCACTACTCTCCAACATAAACCTTTGACTATAGGCTGATCAACCTTCTTTATACTCCCCCCCACATCCATCCTTGGATTTTTGCAACTTTCCTCTAACCTAGAGCATTCCATGTCTCAAAGCCTGATTCAAATCCCACATCTTCCGGGACTTTTTTTTTTTTTTTTCTGACTCTGGCCCTTCTGTGACCTCCAAAAGCATTATTTTTGTTCATTACATCCTACTCTGCAAGTTCATCTTTCCGCCTACCCTAAAGCGAGGACGAGTGCTGGGATCCAAACTCATCTATCATCTATCCTCCACCAATCCTAGCAAGACGTTCAGCACAAAATAGGCACTCAATAAATAACATGGTCTTGGATTTGATGCAAATCAAGCACTACTCTCGAATGCTGCAAAATGGAGTAGTTCTCAACCCACTTGATTTCCCAGGGGAATGACGGGGACGGGTCGGCCAGGTTCTGGGGACTACAAGTCCCAGCGGCCTGTGCGGGTCTGTCTGGTTCCAGGGGGCCGCCGCTAGTTTTAGTCCACAGAGCAGGGCTCCAAACAGACAAGATACCCGGGTGTCTGACAGGGAGGGGTCAGGGGGCTTTAATAGACAGTATGACATTCACCTGGATGGACGGGGCACTCTTGCTATTTATGAACAGCTAAGGCAAGACGCACCATTTACCGCGGACTCTGAGAGGTCACTAACCGCCCCGCAACGTTCCTCACGACCGCGGTCGCAGCCCGCCGCCCGCCTAGCGCTCCCTCCTCGGGGATTGACGTCAAGGCCGTCCGGGAGCATGCGCGGTGCGGCCCCTGAGCCGGCTGGGTCCCCGGCGAGCGCAGAGCGTGAGCCTTCGGGAATCTTCGGTGCGCTACGTCTGTTCATCGGCTACTTGGGCTTGTGACTAGAATTGAGGCGTCGGAGCCTGTCACTCTCGCCCTGGCCTGGGCCTATAGCGCCTGCAGGAGCGCCGGCTCTGATCACCTGCGGTCTGGTTGTGTGCCTCAGTGGCTGCAGTTGCCCGAGGGTTTGTTCTGGGAGAGAGCTGAGAGCGCGGTGTCCTGGCGCGTGGAAGCCCAGCAGCTCTCGCGTCATGGTGAAGAAGAATAGTATCCCCAACGGGTGAGTACCGGCCGTGAGCTCCCCGGCCGACGCGGGCCCGCGGCGACAACCGGAGTGGCAGGCGTCCTGGAGGACACGCTCGCACTCCCGCTGTCCGCGGTCCAGGTGCGCCCGGTGGTCTTCCGCGGCGTGTGGGGCGGGCGGCGGGGATGGTGGCGCTCCGGGCGCCCGCGCAACCCGCCGCTTCGACCGCGCCGGGAGTAGAGGGCTTTGATTTCGGGTGCTTTGGGGGTGGCATCCCAAGGGGCGTCCTAAAGGGGTTCTTTTTCTTTCCGGCGCTTGGTATGAGTGTAACCAATTTAATACTTTTAAAAGCCTTGAGGTAGTGCACGCAGGACATGCTCACTCGTGTCGTGTCATCTTTGCTTCCTAAACGAAACCGCTTACATTTCTTTTCCCAGGGACTCACCCCGAGTTAAAATAATGAGTTAAGTGAAAATGTTCTGTGTTTTGAAACTTGTCCTGGGAAACTGGCGGGCCTGAAGTTAGGAAACTTGCTAGTAAGGAAAGCAGCTCTGCGGTGTGAGGGAGGCTTTCATTCATTCAGACATTCGACAGATGTTTTCTGGCTGCTCTCTGCGCCAGGCTTTGCGCTTGGACTCCAGGGAATCTTAGAAGGGGGTTCAGACTTCTGACAGCCTTGTATATTTGGGAAAGGGGAGATGTGGAAGTGAAGAAACTGCTGCAAACATAATATTCCAGGATATGTTGGTACATTGTGGCATACGTAGAAATAGAACTGGGAAGTTCTGCTCGCTTTCTCAGCTGAGATAACTGCATACCGCTAAATGTGTCCGAGCCTCGAAATCGTTTGGCCATGTTGTTATTCTGAGTAAAATCCTTGCCGGGTTTCCCATCTTGAATTTCTCCGGCTCTTCTGCTATGGGAATTTAGGAACAATGGTAGTGGTGAAAGAAGGACAAGGTCAAGCAATACTTTAGTAAATAGAAATGTTACAGGCTAAATAGAATAAGAGTGCATGTGCAAATAATATGTAATCTGTGCTGTTCCTTAAATTCACTTAATTTCTGGAATAATTATCACACAGGGGTACTGTTTTTGTTTTTTTGTGTGTGTGGTTTTTTTTAAGATTTATTAATTTATTTTAGAGAGGGGTTGGGGGAGGGACGGAAGGAGATGGAAGGGAACATCTCAAGCCAACCCTCCACTGAGCTGGGAGCCTGATGCAGGGCTCCATCTCAGGACTCTGAGATCATGACCCTGAGATCATGACTAGAGAGATGATCAAGAGTGGGAAGCTTAACGCGACTTAACCACCCAGGACCCCCAACAGGGGTACTGTTTTTAAAAATACATATAGCATGTATTTACTGAGATAATACTGTTATAACTACACTTTCATATGTGTTATAAAGTATGTAGGCCCAAATAATGAACAGGCTAAAGTGAGGTAGCGTAGGATTTGAGATCTAATATTGGACAGTTTGTAGTTTAAAGAGCTAAAAAAACAATCAACCCTAAATATTTTCAAGTTTAAAGGAAAATAATATCAGTCCAGCAGATACCTCACTCAGATTGGTCATCCAAATCTCACTTGCCAAAGGGTTTCGCTTCAGTTCTTTTTTTTTTTTTTTTAAGTTGCTGTCATTTAAAGGTCCGGAGCTTTCACATGAAAATCTAGATTTCTTGAAAAATCAGATTTGGGAAACCAGATCTGTACATGGCAATAGTAAGTGATTTGCAGCTGTCTTTTCTATAAAGAGTAAGCCTCTCCAGTTTCCCATCCCCCTTTAGCCTCCGAAGCACTGAGACTTAGAGTTGATTGACTTTATTATTTTATCGTTTTTGGGGGGGGGCACATTTTACTTAGGTATGTCAACCGGCCTGGCATTTGATTTTGTAAGTCCAGCTGTAGAGGGTAAATGGGAGGAAGGAACTTAGTTTATTATATTACTTGTTTCCAGAATAAAATGTCATTTTGAGCGCCGCCAGGCAGTGCTGTGGACTGTTTTGTCAAAAAGCATGGTTACCTTCCATATTGTGAGCCCCAGAAGATGACACCACTTCAAATATCCCTACAGTCCTTTAACTTGATGAGTTGCAGTTTTGGCATTTGAATAGTCTGGGTGATCGTAGTATTCCCGGTTCTACCTCCCACCTGGGAGTATGGTGAAACGTGACAGTGAAATAGGAAAGTACTTCTAAACTGAAGAGCCTCTAAACAAACTAGTTTCAATAACTCTAAAATAGCAATTTTCTTATCTGGAGGTATAGATTTACTTTTATCTTCCAATGATTTCTCTTCCCAAACTTGTTTTGGTTTTCATTGTTGTTTTTTGTTTTTAAAGAAAGAAAAGATATACGGCTATAGACAAGAGATACTCTAATTGGGATTGATTTGGAAAAGAGTTTAAAAATGGGGCCCCTGGGTGGTTCAGTTGATTAAGCATCCAACTCTTGATTTCATCTCAAGTCATGATCTCAGGGTGGTGATATCAAGCCCCAAGTCGGGCTCTGTGCACTCAGCGGGGAGTCTGCTTGAGATTTTCTCTCTCCCTCTGCCCCTCCCCACCTCTCTAAAACAAATAAACCTTAAAAAAATTTAAAAATGTGCAATTGCCCCTTTAAATTACACAGGATTTTAACATGAGTTTTTCAGAAATGTTCTCTTTATTTGATCCGATTGGAATACTCTTTTATTAAGTTCTCTGCCTTATTATTTTTTTCTTTGAGAAATTTCCCTCTGTTAGAAGGTCAGTTCCTGTTGATTACACTTTGGATCTAGTTTTTTTTTTTTTCCCCAAGTAAAATTCTGTTCATTGCTATATGACTCCTAATAGGTATTATATATGTTGTGACAAAGTAATCACACTGAGGATTTTTATCCTTCATTCCACTATATTTGTGTTCAAAATAATTTGGATCCTCCATCCTACACTACTATGTCTTCCTCCACCCATTTGCCCATTTTTCAGAGCTTTTCTGTCACAAAACCAGCGGGTCTGCTGTAAGAAGGACAGCTGTATGTATGGGGGTGGGGGGACAAAGTCCCTGAATCCTGAAATTGGGAGCAGAGTACTATCATATTGATTCTTGCCAAACATTGAGTGAATTTAAGCTGGGACCTCACTGTGTGATGTAAATATTCAGAATGGATTTGTATTTTCAAGCAGTATTCTGTAAACATACTATCTAGAGGTCAAAATACTGCCTTATGTTCCAAACTATCTCTTTCATGCTTCTAGGGATACCCTTTAGTTCTCCTTTGAAATTTGTGAGTTTCTCATGAGATTTTAAGCTTTAATTTTATTTTCTGAATGTCCATATTAATGACAGATGAGTGTAAACATCATTAATTTTATTCTGAGTTTCATTGATTGCCTGGGTTTTTTGAAATTCTTTTTACTTTTTAATAATATAGTCACCAAAACTAACACTGTTGTTTAACCTCAGCAACCAAATAAAGTCCTAGTGTTTTGGGCAGCTTGATACTGGAAGAGTATTATGAGAGTTTCATTTAAGACCGGAGATCAGTAAATCCCATTCTACTTCTAGTTTCTGTTATACGTGGTAACGACACTGATAATTTTTCATAGCCTTATCCCCACAGTTTCTCTATCTCTTGATCATCAGCCTTCTTCCGGAGACAATTAACTTTTCCTCTGGACTCCCCATATGTGATATAAGTAAACTACTCTTTATCCCCTTCTTCTTACATAACATTCTTCCTCCTGATATTTGGAGACTGACTCTCCCATAAGGACACTGCTTTCCCAGCAGCTCACCACATTGGAAGTCAAGCCCCACATACCACAGGGGGCATTGATATGCTCCATCTCCTCATTGCCATTGCTAGGCCACTCCATCCTACCCTTGTAAAACATAATGGAAACCCTTGTGTAATTACCGTTTACCTTCCTCTTCATCATTTATCAGCTCCCTGGTCACTCCCTCACTTTTTAAAAAGAATTTAGCACCCAACTCAGTCTTCATTACCCAAGTCCTACAAGACCATGGTGGGACTAAAGCAGTCATGTGCATCACAGTTCCAGCACCTGAAATGACTGTCTGTGGGACCTTTGTGTCTAAGACTGTTCCATATTAAAAATCCTAAATTCTAGCATTCTCCTCTCATCTTTCTGTTTATTCATCTCTCCCTCTTCCTTATTTTTCTATATTTAATCTGTGGCCTCATAAAGACCCTGTCCTTTGACTACTATTTTATCATCATCAGCCTCTACCTAGATTAACTTTCTTCTTTGTCTAGCCACGCTACTTGGTTCATTATTTACTCAAATTTCCCTGCCTTTTGTCTTTCTCTGCTTTTGCTCTCTGCTCTAGTTCAGTTTAGTCATTTGCTTTTTCAACTCATATATTTAAAGATAATTAAGTTCTAGTACTGAAAATTACAAAACCAGATTGTCATGACGACATGTCACAGTCCATAATAGAGCTCAGCCATTCTTTTCCTTTTCCACCTACAGCTACTATTCTCATTTTTATCACTGTTTAAACCTTCTATCCCATCTTTGACCTTGTACTTTCAGCAGGTGGTTTTGCTTTTTCAGAGGAAATAGACTCTCAGAAGTGAATTTGTAACAGTGACCGCCAGGCCAACTTAACTTCATCAGCAGATATCCTTCTCTCCTGTCTCAGCTAAAGAGGTATGCTTTTTTTCTATCCACAACTGATCCTATATGTATGCTAGATCCCATCCATTCTGTCTCCCCCGGGGCCCTTGCTTCATCATTTAACCTTTTCTTTTATCTTCAGTATACCTTTTCTCACCCACCTGCACCAGC